TATGTGAAATAAAAACCATATTATCCTTTCATTGCATATTAGTTTCAGAGCATACACGGCCATCTCTGCCTATATTGTATATTAACATAAAAATTGAAAGTTTTGAACCCCCCACAGTGGGACCTTGTTCTTAGTCGTAAGAAACCGAGCCTTGTTTCGCGACAACAACCATGCATCGTATGGTTATTTCATATATGAAAAAAAAAAAATTAAATCCTTTCATGCAAATAATAATATAGAGAAATACAGAAGTTTCAAAGCGGACCAGAACCACCACCTTTCATATTTTATTATAACATAAAAAATGACAAAGTTTGAACCCCAACAAATGACCTTGGGCCTTTAGTCGTAGGAACCCAAAAGTCTTTTGTTTGCATACACCAAATACATCTTTGGTTTATTTCATTTATGAATAAAAATTAAAAATCCTTTCATGTATACTTGAGTTTTTCAAGGAACGGACAAGACCACCACCCTGTCTATATGTATATAAGCCGGACGGACTGACAGACGGATTGGTTTCGATTTTAATATGCCACCCTTCGGGGGCATAATAAACATCATAAAGTTCAAAGGGGAAATAATTCTGGAAATATTCTGCTAGAGTTATGAAATTGTCACACATGTATAAGGAACATATATTTTTTAGTTAGAAAAACCTTAAGAAATAAAGAAGTTAGTAAAAATAACATAATTATTTTGAGGAAAAAAATGAGTCATGGGGGGAAATATTTCTGGAAAAATATTGGTGCCCTTTAAGTGAACAACATTGTCAATATGATTGTAGTTTGGTTTTGGTTAAGGTACACATATTTGAAGTTTTTTTAGGTCCCAATCCTTATGATAAAAATGAAGCATAGAGTAAACAATACACAATTATTTTTTATTGGAAAATTATATGTTCCAAAGGGAAATTGTTCTGTTTTTTTTTTTAGTTTAACACCTTATCACATGATTGATGTATGAATGATAAGATATACATGTGCACATACAGATGTATAATGAAAATTAATGAAACCCTTTTTTGGGGCGGGCCTATTTTTATCCCAAAGGGCTTTGATCGGACTAAAACCTTGATAGACATCAGTATAAGATGGGTTTCATGCCAAATAATTCTAAGCTCTTTAGCTCTTTGGATTTTTTTAAAAAGAAAAGGTTTATATTTTTTTTTTGCTATGGCAATCAAAGTTCTGCATGGGATTTTTCTTTAAACACCTTTGGTAGAGCTTTATGTGCAAGGACACACCTGCAAAGTTTTTAAAAAATTTGGCTAAGTGGTTTAAGGAGTAGAAGTTGTTTAAAATAAATTTTTGACGCACGGACATTGTCCTCAAATGAGCTAATAAAAAAGTTAGGGATAAATTTTTACTGCACATCTATAGGCATTAATTTAAAGTATGTACGCTGGCGCGAACTTAAAAAACTGAGTGAGTAGGATAGGTCTACATATACTTTATGTAGTCGAGCTAATAATAAAAATATCACTTACCTGGTCACTTAGTTTAAGAGTCTTGCCACTTTACAGTAAAAAATTACAATGTTTTTTTTTTTGCTTTTTTTTTTTAGCGTTTTTTTTTGGGGGGGGGGGATGAGTAACATGAGTAAAAATGACACTTAACTATGAAAGTTATTAATTAAGAAGATCACTTAAAAAGGTATATCCCACATATAATTCATTTAGTAGCTAAATTTTATTAGTGATATTAAGTATATTTACAAATAATTCAATAATTGCTAAAGTTCAACAATTCACTTGGGCCGCAGACCCAGAGAACAAAACTATCGATAAAAAGTGAGTGTATCTTCAGAAATTTGATCCTTCAACGTTAGGGCCATTAGATAAGAACACAGAGGACCAATTAATGATGACAAGACTCTCAACTCAGTGGACGTGTTAATGGGAGATATACAGTTAATAGTGATTTACTAGCTGATAAGCCCTTACTGAGATTCAGCAGGCTGGAAGGGTTTATGCGTAGGACTGTTTATCTGAAATGTTCTCTATATCCTCCAGCTAATAATAAAACTATACATTCTTGAAACGTGATAGGATCATAAAACATTCTAGGGTGCTGCTATCAGTGATACTGTGACAAGCCATGTAATTATAATTAAATGCTCAACACTGGCCAGAGATAGGAAATTTTAGGGGAAAACTGGAAATTTTGGGTTTGTGCGTAGGACTGTCCTGTCGCTATCGCTCCCGTCGAAGTCACTAATTTCCGTAGAACAGCACGGATGAACACTAACATATACTTAGACTGTCCGGTAGTTTCAAAGAATACCGCCACATTGGGTACTGCATCAGAATACTCTATTCTAAGGGACGGTAATATTTATTTTAGGTACACGTCTACAGTATATGACAAAACCACATCGCAAAGACAAACTGCAAAAAATGTAAGTCTTGAGTTGCATATGCATATTTTTTTATAACATTTACAAAGAAAGTTTATATACATGAAGAATTAAAGAAAATACGCATACAGCCTACAGGTATGAAATACATCTTAAATTACAAAATTGAAGAATTTCTTCACGCGAAGTTACAATTATAAAGCAAGCAGTTTCTATTGAAATTCAGTCCTTTTCAAATGAAATATGAGACCTCTCCAAAATAGCGGGCTTTAAGGACTTTTTATTTTATTCATCCTTTTAATCTATTGTAAATTTTCGCATTTTAACTGAGTCAGAATTTTGAGAACGCTTTACTGGCTGCACACAGGGTACATTGAACGAAGCTATTCATTACCAATAAAGGAAAAGCTATCGCCATCCGTTACAGCCGAGTTAACGCCAAAAACGAGCTGTTAAATGTTGTCATGGGGTACACAAAGGGGGTTTCTTTTTGCCAGTTTTATTTTAGGTTTTATTAGTCCGGATTTATATATAAAGGCACTAGTTGCGGATATTTCATCGACATATATAATGACTTGAAAATGTATTTTCCAGTTGTTTTTCGTTTGACTGTATGTCCTTTGTAAAGTCTTTCAACTGTTAAAAATTAAGTTGAATGCAACTCCCTGGTGAAGCTATCAACGCCATCTTGCGGTTGCAAACCTATCTCAAACGTTATATCGCGGCGTATTGTTTGCTATACCGGACGATTATAATATTCTTCATATCTTCAGATTATTTTAATAATATGATTTATACATATGATTATTTTAGAAGTGTAGGTACTTAATATATGAGAAATGGCGCGCGCAGCAATGGCGTTTAAGTAACCGAGGTACGGAATGGGGTGGTGGGGGGGGGTATAATTGAAGTAAAACATTAATATTGTGGGAAAAGAGGGCTTAAAATGTTCGCATGTTCTGTCATGTGTAAAGATGATGATAATGCGGGTCGATTACAGAAGTTAATGATTGAAACTTGGTATTTCTTTCATTACAGGTTCATTAAATACCGAAACTCGTTGATGTGTCATCTAATATGCATTTATCTCTCCGTCTCCGATGTTATTTTGGATGAACCTTCAAATATCATTTTACAATTAGCTGTTTCACTTTCATGATAATATTATATGTAGCTTATATATATATATCTAAAACATTTGCTGAAAAAAGACACGAAATTGGCGATAATTAAATGAAGCATAATTTGTTGTAAAGGCAAACAAAGCCAACGAAACATTTGTGTTCAATGGGTTACTTTTTGGTATATGCCTTGAATGTATCTTTTTCAAATTTAAGGTAAATTCATGAACTAGTACATGTAGTGTGTTAAATTTTCAAATACAAAAACTCGCTACCTGCACACGATATTTTAGTGTACATTTGAAAACCATTTATATGCATGGGTAGATTGTATGAAAAAACCTACGCTAGTATAACCTCAAAAGGAAATATCGTATTTCTAGATTTCCATGGTAACTTCTTATTTAGTTAAACATTTAACATTTTTGCGCCTTTAGATTTCTAATGATAATACAGATTAACATCTAACGTGTAACGATTCAAGCGAGCGGACATTTCTTCATGTTAAAACGTTACTGTATCGTAAACCTATCTCAACTTTTCGGTCTATTTCGTCAAACTTCGGATGAGGACTACGTTGATAGCTGATAATGTGGTCCAAACGTAAACTATGACCGTCTGGAAGATTGCTACATTGTTTATACGGAAGCTGGAAGGTTCAAATTCCAGTCTTGCTTTACCGAAAATTTAATGCCGGTCGGTTCAATTTTAAGTCTTGTCTTACCTAAATGCCGAACTGTTCAAATTTAAGTCTTGCCTTACATAAATGCTCGAGGGGTCAAATTCCAGTCTTGCCTCTTTCTCTTCCGACAACGTGTCAAATGCTGGAGTAAGTTTCTGAAACTTACTATTTGTATGAAAGTTTGATTTTATCAAGCTTATTGTGCTGATTATCTGTTCTTATTTACTGACGACATTTTCTCATGCAACTTGACATGTAAATTTCTTTCTCTCATTTGTAAAGATCAGGTGTAACGATATACTTGGTAAACGTGATTATATATGAAATATATTCAATTTCTCCATTCAGACATCTTCCTTAACGATGAATACAAACTGGTTTTAATGACATTATTTACTTATGCGTGAATTTTAAGGGTGTATAGGTAGACTGTACTCACCTGTCTTATTGTACACGCTACGGCAACCTCGTGCAGGCATAAACGCGCACATACAAACGTATTTTGAACACCAGAGAATCATACTCATTTCTGAACTGAGTCAAAAAAAGAACCGTTTATGTGTATAGTTTCTTTCCAGTTTTATATTTTCAGTGGCAATCAGATGTGTGCGACCGGTAGGTATCAAGTATCCCGGTAAAAATGTATTTAAATAACGCATTATAAATGATTCTTTTTAAAGTAAATACTGTAAAAAATGCTCCATCAGCATTTTATTGAAATAAATTATGAAGTGAACTATATTTTTAAGCAATTGCAGTAAATTTCTTTATCTTTATTTCATGGGAAGAGCAATAAATGAATGGTGCTAATATACAACTAATTTGTCTACTGGTGCCATTTACGGCTTATTTACTGGTTCCATATACGGTTTGTTGACTGGTTCCATACACGGCTTGTTTACTGGTGCCATATACGGCTTGTTTACTGGTGCCATATACGGCTTGTTTACTGGTTCCATATACGGCTTGTTTAATGGCTCCATATACGGCTTGTTTACTGGTGACATATACGCTTTGTTTACTGGTGCCATATACGGCTTGTTTACTGGTGCCATATTCGGCTTGTTTACTGGTTCCATATACGACTTGTTTACTGGTTCCATATACGGCTTGTTTACTAGTTCCATATACGGCTTGTCTACTGGTGCCAAATACGGCTTGTTTACTGGTTCCATATACGGCTTGTTTACTGGTGCCAAATACGACTTTTTTACTGGTGCCATATACGGCTTGTTTACTGGTGCCATATACGGCTTGTTTACTGGTACCATAATTATTATTATTTGTCTACTGGTGCCATATATACGGCTAGTTGTGTACTGGTGCCATTTATACGGCTAGTTTTTGTCTGATAAATAAAGTGAGGGGAAACGTTTTACTGGTCAGAAATGTATTTGCACGCATATAGTAACAGTATTGTAATGTTTAAAGCTTACGGTCAATAGTTACCATTTAAATTATAAAACAAGACTGAAATAAAATAAATATAACATGTAAAATACTAGTATGTATTTCAAGGTACGTATCGTCATATCTTTGAAGACTTTAATTTATGTGGATAATTTTTATAAAATTTTGCAAAAACTACAATTTATGTTGCAAAATGAATGTTGTTTATGTTCCTGGTTTTCTGAATCAAACTTAAAGTTCAGATCCTCATGCAAGTACACAAAAAATTGGGCGACAGCAAAGTATCATGTAGGGACCAATTTAACCAGATCTGGAATTAGAGAAGTTAAGTTATTTATAAGATTGGTAGCGACTGAAGACTACCCATATGTATGCATTTGAAGAGTTCCATCAGTATGAAATGAGGAAAGCTCTTCTGAATGGCATGACCATATATCTTCATGAACACCCACCAACAGGGCGCGGAGACCAATTAAAGCAGATTGGATGAACCATTGAAATATCCGTTTACATCAAAGTTGCGCATGTGCAGTGAATGGTTGCCCGGTTAGGTGCTACATTTTATCATCACCGGGTAAACATTCATCCGCATATGTGACAACACTGAACAACAAACCTTGAGAGAACAGGGGACATAACCGGAGGGACACGAACACAATAAAATCATACGCATGTACTTGGTCTACGTAGTAAAAGTATTGCTGCACTCCGCCAGTCAAAAACGCTTGCAAAATGTCCTGGAAGATGGTCTTGAAAGATACCACACCCTTATAATATAGCGATGATCTTTCCATTCATTTCTGTACATGTACTGCAAGAAAAGTAACAACTTTGTGGAATTTGTGTGCAGCCGAAATTACGTTCGATACAGTCTAGTTTTGAAGTCTTCTCGTCATGGTCCATTTGTATTATACGGGAAGTAACAGTAGTACTTGCAGACGACAGTTGAACGTATTTCCAGGCGACTGACTTATTCCTCCTAGCGACCCTTTTCTCTATCTGAAAGGGAAGTAACTGCTGTACACAGTTATGTTTTGTTCACGTTTCCGTTCGACGACATGCCACTAAACAACTCATATTTCCTCCTTCAATACGGGCATCGGGCGACACTATATTTTTAAAGGGTCGTTCAATGCCGGGGAGTAGACATGGTTGTTATTTCCATCAACATCAAGATACAATCATTAAGCCAGGCATCAATGATTCAGGGAGAATTTTGCTTCAAATCACCTATATCGGACATCATATGGATATCAAAACATATAAAATTTAAAGGTTTATTACATATGTTACTATAATAAGTACATGTAATATGAATGCGCTTCTTTATATGTATATGTATATAATTATAGTAAAAACTAAAAATATCTTCTTTTATAAAACCTAAATAGCTAGAGCTTAGATATTAAGCATGAAATATCTTTTAGTGAGTTTATACCAAGTTTGTTCAAATAAAAACACTGGCGTCAAAATTGGCCCCGCCCGGGGGGTAATTGATTTTCCTTTTATGTATATAGTTAAAACAGAAAAAGGGTGTCTTTTAAGAACTCTAAGAGCTAGAGCTTAGATATTAAGCATGAAACATCTCCTAGTGAGTGTCTCACAATATGAAAAAGAAAGACCAGAGTGAAAATTGGCCCCGTCCGGGTGTGATTGATTTTTCTAATATGCATAAAGTAAAAACAAACAAGAAATATCTTTAAAAACCCAAATAAACAAGTATTCTGACTCAAGGTGAGCGATTTAGGGCCATCATGGCCCTCTTGTTTTATGATACATATACAATGTCGAAAAATACAGAATTCTCATTGTGAATGTAACATAGTCAAAATAACTATATTATCATTACTTACTTTTTATACTTTTGGAAGTTACCATTTTAAAATGACGACATTATCTTAATTACTGTTTAATGTACTTGATGAAGATACCATTTTAAAATAACGACAAAATCCGTCACTGTTTATATTTATACTTGACGAAGTAACCATTTTAAAAGTGCAACACAATCAATTACTGTTTATATGCACTTGATGAAGTTACCATGGTAAAATAGCGACAAAATCCATTACTGTTTATTTGTACTTGATTAGGTAACCATTTTGAAAAAGCGACCTAATCGAATACTGTTTAAATATACTTTTTGAAGTAACCGTAAGGGAAAAGGGACATTATCAGTTACGGATTATATATACTTGATGAAATTACCTTTTAGAAAAAACGACATAATCAATTAATGTTTATACATACTTTTTTGAAGTTACCGTTTTAAATTATTGACATTACATTACATGTATACTTGACGAGGTTACCATTTTAAAAGTTACTGTAGAGACATAATCAAGTACGGTTTATACATTCTTGTTAATGTTACAATTTTGAAATAGCTGCATAATCAATAACTGTTTATATGTACTAGTTATCCTCCGCCGATGGAATCGGGAGGGGGATATTGTTTTTGCGTTGTCCGTCCGTCCTTCCGTTGGTCCGTCCGAATTTCGTTTCCGCGCTACTTCTCTGCAACTATTGGTTGGAATTCAACGAACCTTCATTGGAATCATCAATATCAAGAGGAGATGAGCATATCGTCGGCTTGCTCCAGTCAGACCCTTTAACTCAGAGTTATGGCCCTTGATTAGTCATGCAGTATGCATATAGAGTAAAAATCGTTTCCGCGCTACTTCTCTGCAACTACTGGCTGGAATTCAACAAAACTTTATGGGAACTTTCAATACCAAGAGGAGGTGTGCATATCGTCACCTTGTTCTTTTCAGATACTTTAACTCAGAGTTATGGCCCTTGATTAGTTATGCAGTATGCGCTACTTCTCTGCAACTACTGGCTGGAATTCAATGAAACTTTATGGGAACTTTCAATACAAAAAGGAGATGCGCATATCATTGCCTTGTTCCGGTCAGACACTTTAACTTAGAGTTATGGCCCTTGATTAGTTATGCAGTATGCATATAGAGCAAAAATCGTTTCCGCGCTACTTCTCTGCAACGACTGGCTGGAATTCAATGAAACTTTATGGGAACTTTCAATACAAAGAGGAGATGCGCATATCGTCGGCTTGTTTGGGTCAGACCCTTTAACTCAGAGTTATGGCCCTTGATTAGTTATGTAGTATGCATATAGAACAAAAATCGTTTCCGCGCTACTTCTCTGCAACTAATGGCTATAATTCAATGAAACTTTATGGGAATCATTAATATCAAGAGGAGATGCGCATATCGTCGGCTTGTTCATGTCAGACACTTTCACTCAGAGTTATGGCCCTTGATAAGTTATGCAGTATGCATATAGAGCAAACTTTATGGGAATGTTCAATATCAAGAGGAGATGCGCATATCATCGCCTTGTTCAGGTCAGACACTTTAACTCATAGTTATGGCCCTTGATTAGTTATGCAGTATGCATATAAAGCAATAATTGTTTCCACGCTACTTCTCTGCAGCTACTGGCTGGAATTCAATTAAACTTATGGGAACCATTAAAACCAAGCGGAGATGTGCATATTGTTGCCTTGTTCAGACCAGACCCTTCATTACAGAGTTATGGCCCTTAATTAGTTATGTAGTATGCATATAGAGCAATATTGCTATTCCTTTGCAACTGCTGTATTAATTTCAACAAAACTTTATGGCAACCATGGATACAAAAGCTCATATTGGCATGTCCAGATATTACTATTTAACACAGAGTTATGGCTCTGTTATTGTCCTGAATATTTATCATTAGTATTTATGCCAAATAAATAAAGCCTGATGTCTTCAGTTGTTGTGTAAGTAATAACCAGTACTCGGCGGGGGATATAAATTCAACGAATTTACTTGATGAAAATACCATTTTAAGATATAATCAGTTACTGTTTATATATACTTGATGAAGTTACAATTTCAAAAAAGCGACATAATATTAAATTTACTGCCCATATATAGTTGCTGAAGAAAGCATGTTAAAATGACGACATTATCATTTACTGGTTGTAATTGTTGAAGTTACCCTTTCCACAAAGTTAAAATTGTAAATGTTACATACCGAACATGTGCATTAATTAATGATTTTATAACTGTTTCAATTGTTATATAAAAATGAAGACATCTTCAATATTGTTTGTTATTTTTTTAATCTACTATGCTAAATTGACGACATTTTTCTTATAAGTATTTATAATTTTTGAAGTAAGACTGGCGACAAAATAAATATTTGTCCATAGTTGCTGAAGTACGAATGTCAAAATGGCGATAATATCAATAACCGCCTATTATTGTTGAAGTAAGCATGTCAAAATGGCGATAATATCAATAACTGTCTATAATTGTTGAAGTAAGCATGTCAAAATGGCGACAATTTCAAAACAAAGCCTATATTTGCTGAAGTAAGCATGTCAAAATTGCGACATTATCAATAACTGCCCATAGTTGTTGAAGTAAGCATGTCAAAATGGCGACAATATCAACAACTCCCCATTGTTGCTGAAGTGCGAATGACGACAATATCAATAACTTACATTGGTTGCCAAAGTAAGAGTGTCAAAATGGCGACAATATCTATTACTGACTATAATTGTTGAAGTATGCATGTCAAAATGGCGAAATTATCAATAACTGCCCAAAGTTGCTGAAGGAAGCATGTCAAAATGGCGACAATTTCAATAACTGCCTATAGTTGCTGAAGTAAGCATGTCAAAATTACGACAATATCAATAACTGCCCATAATTGCTGAAGTAGGCCCGCTGAAGTAAGCTTGTCAAAATGGCTACATTATCAAGAACTGTCCATAGGAAACAAGTAAGCTCGATATGTTATCAAACATGTCATGTCAAAAGAGTACATTTATAAGTTGCCAAATGGTCAATAATCTGTCATTAAAAAGGTGACATTCGGTAAAATAAATGATGATCTTTCAAACATGCCGTGTATAAAGGTTACTTAAGTAAACAGGTTCAATAATTGGCAAACATGTCATGGATATAAAGGCAATATTAGGCATAAAGCTTAATAATATGCCGAACATTTCATGTAAAAAGGTGAAAAGGCTCAAAAATACGTCAAGCATTTCATGCCAAAAGGCGACATAACATGAAAAAGCTCGATAATATGTCAACTTTTCATGTCAACATGTAACATAAGATAGAAGCTCGATAATGTGCCAAACATTTCATGTCAAAAGGCGGCAAAAGGTTTAAAGATTTGATAATCTATCAAAATGTGTCAAGGCAAAAGCGACGTTAATTAAAAAAGCTCTGTAACCTGTTAAACATGTCATGACAGAAGGCGGCACAAAACTTGATAAACCGTACAACATTGCATGTCAGAAGACTAGTTAAAAAAATCGATATCCTGTCAAAAATGTTATGACAAAAAGGCGACATTAGGTAAAAATATGCTCAATAATCTGACATTCTTGTCAATAGGCTACTTTAGCTAAAATATTGTACTAACCATGTCGAAAAGACAACTTTGCTTTTGAACAGTTTGATATAATACGTAATTGAATTTGCAAAGTTCAAAACGGCGATTATGGCTGGAAATAAATAAAAAGTGGATTTTTATACTTTCTTTTTGTTTACTTACTGTCGCGAGCCTGGTCTTTTGCATGTCCGGTATAGAGCACCGATACATGGCTCCCCTAGATAACTTAACCTGCGCGGATACGCTCCTGCGACATTATCTTAATTATCATTGAACCTATCAATGAAACTGCGAAAAAAGAGGGGTATAAAAACCATGCCAATTACATAATTTATATAGGACATTATAAGTTGTTGACCTTGAACCTGTCAAACAAGCGACATTGTTAGTGCGCTAGTGTTATTCATGTGAAGTTTATAGGTCTATATACAGTATGTTTTGTATACTTATGATATCATACGTAACTACAACTGTAAGACTGGTTTTTAGTGATATTTATTCATTGATTTTGTTAAGATGTATATGTAATTTGCGGATCACGCCGTATCGCGGATCACGCCGTATCGCGACGTAAACAAGGTTGGGTCTTCAAGCGTACAGAGATTCTGAAATGAATGAAGTATGGCGGATAATTCCGTCCATCTACAGTTTTCGTGTAGACAGACGAGACACATATAACCGACCGTAAAATATCAATATGTTTGTTAGATATATGAATCAAAATTGACGATTTTTTTGTTTGTTTTAAACTTTTAAGTAGATTCTTAATATCTAATACATGTATAATGAAATGTCAAATCGTATTTGAATCATAAAAACTTTTTAAAAAAGCAAGAATAAATGCCCTTCTAGAACTTCTACATGATTTTTGTAAATATAACGAAATGTTCATTTTATGTAGGACACAGTTTAATTCGCCCCCCGTTTTAAAACTATCTTATTACAATCATTGGGATTTTATGGTAGGTTTATTCAAACGGCTGGTGAATAATTACGGAGTATAGAATTTCAGATATTTAAATAAGGTATTGTCCAGAAGAATTTCAGATTGTTCTCCTTTAGAAAAAAATATGAGAAACCAGTGTGTTAAAATCTAATGTACTAAAATGTTGGGGTACATCGTGGGGATTTCAAATGATTATTAATTACTCTCACGAAAGGAACAGAAAATATGGTTTATGTACACCGTGTCATATAGAAGAGGTTTAATAAAAAATAGTACAAAATAAAAACTATACGGTTTATTATATCTCTTTCTAAATACGTTTGCCTTTACGAGTTCTCTTTCTTTTCCATACATTCAAACAAAAGCAAAATGCAATTAATAAAAAGAATAAAATAGAAAACATGAAATTAAAGAAAAACAGTCAACACCCCTTAACATCCCTCCCAAGTTTTAAGTTGTTTAGCCTACAAATAGGTTACCTATCTTTGACATTATTCGTAATTACCAGGTAGCCTTTTTAAGTAGAAGTACATTTATTAATAAAAACTGAACGAGCAATTAGCAAATTAAGTATGATTACGTAAACACACGATTTGTCCGAAATTTCGTGATTTTTTTCAACCCGTACGACCAGTGCAGGCCATGATCAGCCGTCACATCCGTGCACGTGTGTCTGATTATGTTCTGTACTATCGGCTTATCATTTAGTACATGTTTAGAAAGTTTCCTAAAAATGATGTTTTTTTTCCAGATTTAAAGATGAATAAGTCCTTTTGAGATATTTAGTGTAAAGAGGGGTCTTTGTTATGTTAAAAAATGTCAATTAACCATTCAGGGTATTTGTTTCCTTTAGTTAATAGAGAGAAAAAAAGACAGGTCCCGCCGAGATTTGAACTCGGATCGCAGGATTCAAAGTCCTGAGTGCTAACCATTACACCACGGGACCAGTTATCACTGCTCTAATGTAATGGTTAAGCCATTAATAATAGGTTCAATGTGTTAAGGGAAATAACTGTTTTAGACTTTACATTTTTAGTTAACAAGGTTTGTCTCCCCTGTATTATAACACTTTCTGGATATACTGGCCTCATATACAGCTAGTTAAAGCCGTTTACAAGGATAAACCAAAAAATGAAAATCATTTATTTAGTTTCATGTAAATATTTTGAATAGTGACCTCTTTTCATGGAGCATGAATGTTTTCAACATATTCCGACATAATGTGCGTGTTTTATATGGGTTTAAACCTTGTACTATTTGTTTGGATGTGGACTATTCGGTTGGGACCATCTACATTATCGGTTGTTCTTAAATTACATCTGTAGCCATTAATTGCATATCTCCATATGAGCGTAAGTAAAAACAGCTTTACCTACATAGAGAGATTTGCGCACTTTGTTACATATGCGGAACTATGAAAAAATTAAAAACATGACATACCGGGGAGATTTGTATTCGTTCGTTTAGATTTAAATACCATATATGTATGTAGTCAATGCTTAATGAGGGTCCATCCGCCCGCAAGGGCACAAAATGCAGCTTTCGCTGTCGAGTAAGGACCCCGGACATGTCACCAGTCATGCCCTTAAAGAGTTAATTTTGAGGCACAAAGTGGTGATAATTTAGCTCCATGCAATTGCCACGGAGTATTAGCCATATACATGTATATGAATTTTGAGCCCAAATTAGGTCACTGTACGGCGGTCAATGAGAACCTAATGTACAGTCCTCTGAGACAATATGAAAGGGTAGCCCTTAAAAGGGCTGTTGGTTCCAGCAAAAGTCCTGTCGTTCAAGCCGTCTAACCTTGCTAGGGGCTCACGCACCCTAGCACACCATCGTCTTAGCCTACTTTGTAGGACCACTCCCCTCGGCATTGGTCAGGATATTGGCAGCTGGTCCGCAGTACAAGTGTTGATCTTTAGTGCCATCCCAAGTCTTCATCAACCACAAGCACGCTCGGAGGAAAAGTGAGAAGATTTAAATACCATGCTAACACTGGGCCATCTTAATTCGTTTATTTGAAAAGGGACACAACCGTGTGAGATTCTTTTTTGTTATAGTAGTTATTCTCCTTTTAATTTAATTATATTGATTATTGTGTTGAAATAATTGCTGCTATAGACAATGGTTAGCCATCCTACAGTCAGACGATACAAATAGTTTTGTTACATTTTCATCTCTACTAATTGGTCTCCCTTGATTTCATTTTAGACTGACCTATATTCCTTCCTATAAGCATCGAGGCTCCATGCCGATTCCCAAGATCATGCCATAATTCAAATGGTGTACGAGTACGTGTTACTGATCAGTCTTAATAAATTCCATACACAGCAAACGACGCTGATGTGTAAATTAATATCTTTGTTCACTTTATTTTATTTTTCTTTAAAATAGTTTTTTAATTATTAAAATTAGCATGTATCTGGAGGCATACTGCTTTAATACACACTGCGCTCGCAGAGACTCTTGTGGAACAGACTATATCCGACCATGCATTGCCCTGTCGTTTCATACGGAACACCCCGCTAATATTTCATAATTTACGTCAGATTACTGAATTGATTTTCCATAAGACTTACATAAAATTTAGTATTCATGCTCAAGATGTTAGTTTTCTAGAAGAATGATATGCATGACACATAAAAAAATGATCTTGTTATCTTTGAAGTCATTTTTCAAAACTTTGGTTGGCTACCCTTTCATTTTTATTATGTGTCACGCATTTTATTCTTCTAGAAAAATCACTTCTTAAGTACAAAAACTCGGTAGGATAAGGGACCATTTCTTATAATGTAAGTCTATGATAAAATAAATACGAGAATCTGACCTAATGATTGGTTACTGTACTTGTTAGGGGATGTAACTCCTGCAAGGAGTTCTAATCTAATCTAAAAATAAATCAAGGATGATAATCGGCCTTGTTTGTCATTAAATGTTTCATTATCATTTTCACTGATAAATAAATAAATTATACGATAAATAAATGATAACATGTATAATATCGACACATGACTAGTGTACTCAAAATTACATGTCCATATGAGCAATTATTATTGTATTGACTGGGCGATTATTTTCCTTATTATTCAATGAAAAAAAAAAAAGTTATTTCCGGGAGACTTTTTTAAGTGATTGTATTAAATATAGACAACAATAGTTTTAAGCTAATTTCACGGATATCTGTAATGTTTAAATAGATTTGACGTAATTAGGTATACATGGACTATGATAACGATGATGCCATCTTTTTAAACAGTATGAGTGACAGTAAAAATGGCCGCCGCTATAGGAGGGTAAGTCAGTGTTTATTTAGATAATTTAAACATTAATCTCATTTCCGTACCCTGATGTATTTATCAAGTTAAGAAATTTATCCATCGCGTCTCAAATTCACTTTATCGTAAAAAGAATTAACCGGATAACACGCGATATTTGTTTCAATGTACCCCACTTTTTTACACCATCTACCTCCATATTTAAGAAATACGGATGTAGCAAATCGCCTCCTTATCATCTAGATTAACTGAATCTTGTACATTTCTTATTAAGTTTTTGTTATCATTTAAAAGTATCGGCATTAATACTGTCATTTCAAAGTCTGAATATATCTACCTAGACACACATTTTTCTCTTTAACTTGCTGAACTTTTTCAAAAAATCGTAATTTAAAAGTAAACCACTTTTAGTGTCTTATGAAAAAGATGTACATAGGTGTCAAAGAATAAGTCTATTTTTGAAAAAAAAAATCCTTCTTTCTATTGCAAAAACTCTGCCATTTTGGAGATAACTTTCACCCATTCCAATGGCGGGCGAACAAATAATCTATTTCAAAAATCTTCTTTTTAAACTTTATGTTGTTTTTGTTGTTGTTCTTAAAGAAAGAGGTTGGCACTGTCATGCACTTGCACTTGTCTTTTTTGTTGATAAAGATTTTTTGCTTCAGTGGAGCTCCTTTAATGTTGTTCTTGTTGTTGTTGCTATTGTTGTTGTTTTGCAGCTGTCTATATGTTGTATATCTTGTATTCAAAATATATTGCTTATGTTTTACAAGTTTATATTGTTTGTATAATGTATTGATTTATATTTTGTATCATTTTGTATGATTATGTACTCAATAAAATTATGTTCTGTTCTGTTAGAATATTGTCTCTATAGAAATAAGACACGGTGTCTATACCACGTGTATTCCTGTAATCTGCGTTGGGCAGAAGACCAATTTAACAGACAGCCTACGTTTTATTTTCTGTCATAATTTTTTAAATAGTTCATTAATTTTTATCGGAAAGCGTGAAGAGCCCACTCGTTCTTCGGTGGAACCCATACATAAAATGTTTCCCAGGGAAAATGTTCCTTTTTTTCCGTAAAGCGAAACTGCTTTAATATCATACGGTTTCACTAGTATGAGAGGGTTCTTACTTCGTCTGATTAAAAATAACGGAATACCAGTCCATTATATTGAGTATTACCCGACGCAGATCATAAAATGTCACGTGGTATAGGTACTGTATAAAAGGTTTTTGTAATTCAGGAGGCCGTTCCAATATCCGAGGAGATCCGAGAAGCAGAACGCATGAATGATGATGACGTCGATGGTGACACAGCTCATTTCCAGTCCACGTTCGGACTCGTGCTCTCGTGCATGGGTTGCGTGGTCGGCACGGGAAATATATGGCGTTTTCCGAGGATTGTTGCACAAAATAGTAACGAGGAGGGTAACTTATCTTTTTGTTTAATAAAAACTAGACAGATAAAGTGCATTCATTAACAAGCGAAATGGGTATAATGTATATTGTTAATCATAATATTTTACACTTTTATCAGTGAAAAATTACTTTTAGTTGTCCGATATTTACGATGTCCTGTTTTGGCCACTGAAAATATCGCTTGTTGATTTGCCTTTGGACATAAAACGAGAACTATGGCTAATTCTTGTAATTGTCTAAAACAAGTTTTAGTTTAATATACAAAGAACATCTAATTAAATGGTGAAGATTCTTTACCAGAACTTTAATTCTACTAATACATGACATGGGGCGGGTAAAATCTCACTGTTCAAAAGGGCGACAATTTAACTGGATCAAACAGGAGATCGTAGATATTTAAATTTTTAAAAATATTACTGATGTTTTCGCCCAAACACTTTCAAATGAAGCTGTGTGATAATATAGGTTACATTATGATACATAAACAGTTTTATGTTTATTATTTAAAAAATATTAACACTTGTGTCCAATCGTTAGAATTAACAATCTCACCAGTAACGTATGGTATCGAATTAAAACAGGCGGTTATTGATAAAATACATGTAATATATTATTAGAGGATTCGAAAAAAAAAATTGCAATGTGAACGTTTTATAATGTAGCACAAAAAGATGTAACCGATCTGCCATTCTATAGAAAAGATTGGACACGGTGATTTGTAGTAGCTTGATAAAACTCTTCTCAGTTTCGTTTATTTCTTTTATTATAAACCATGAATACCATTGATTCAGGTGGTCTAGTGTTCTTAATAGTGTGGTTGATGTTCCTTTTTCTCTGGTCAAGTCCACTGTTGTTGCTAGAATACGGAACTGGCCGATATACAAAGAAGGCAGTACTCGGGTCTTTCCGGCAATTTCTTGGCGACAACCATATATGGTGTGGCGCGTGGATATCAATGGTCACATTTTGTATTAGGTGAGTAGTGACCTCATATTGTACCATTCTATTAGGACACACGTTTGTCAACTTGTCATTCCCTAACAGAATTCATTACTGATATTATATTCGTCAACTTTTACTTTACAAGACTAAGTCTTATGAGCTAATGCAGTATTTAAGAACTATGAAAAAGAACCAAATTTATTCAAACTATGGACGGAATTCGTATTAGAAAATAAGCATTCAGAAGTATAAACGAATACACGCCAATACCTTAATTAATCATTGATAAAATAAAGGTAGGTATTTATCTTTTCGATTAAATGACAATCCTTTATTAGATATTGAAAATGGCTAAACGAGGGAGTAAAATGTATCGGACACAATAAACTTTGAGTGAGACTAAAAACAGGATTGGAGCACCACACTAAATACCGTATTCCGGTATATACCGGACAAGGCGCTTGAATCGTAAAATGCCAAAATCTTGCTTTATTACGCAACGGAATGAACTTTAACAGGTCTAATTCATCTTTTCACACTGATTTATGTATGATAAAGCATGAAAAATGTAAAAATCAGCGAAAAAAACGATATTTGTCTATTTTTTGATCATGATTTCTGCAAGCGTCTAGGGGTACTGCTCCAATCCTGTATTGAGCTAAATCCATAAACTTAACCAATCACTTAAAAAAATGCTGTATACATATGGTAGGGAGTAAATTAAACCAGCTTTATATTATCGGAATTAAAATACGATGACTGATTTACTACTAAGAATGTTACTAAAAGAAACGTTTCGTGTTAAAATAAAATGATACGATTTTTGGCCGGGTTGCACTGGTGCAAACCCGGGTTATAGTATGGTGAATGTTGGGCGGCGGGCGGGCGGGGCAAAAACTTTCGTAACAGTTTTCTCAGCAACTACTTATCACAGCCTTTTGATATTTGGTATACAGCATCAACACATGGTCCCATACTGTGGGATTCGATTTCAGGTCTGTCGCTCATCTACTTCCTGTTTGCTGACCTAGTTAAATTTTCAACATTAATGGTCAATAGCAGGAAATTTTCGTAACAGTTTTCTTGGCAACTACTTATCACAGCCTTTTGATATTTGGTATACAGCATCATCACATGGTCCCATACTGTGGGATTCGATTTTAGGTCTGTCGCTCATCTACTTCCTGTTTGCTGACCTAGTTAAATTTTCAACATTTATGGTCAATAGCAGGAAAATTTCGTAACAGTTTTCTTGGCAACTACTTATCACAGCCTTTTGATATTTGGTATACAGCATCATCACATGGTCCCATACTGTGGGATTCGATTTTAGGTCTGTCGCTCATCTACTTCCTGTTTGCTGACCTAGTTAAATTTTCAACATTAATGGTCAATAGCAGGAAATTTTCGTAACAGGTTTCTCAGCAACTACTTATCACAGCCTTTTGATATTTGGTATACAGCATCAACACATGGTCCCATACTGTGGGATTTGATTTCAGGTCTGTCGCTCATCCACTTCCTGATTGCCGACTTAGTTAAATTTTCTACATTTATGGTCAATGGTAGGAAATTTCCGTAACAGTTTTCTTGGCAACTACTTATCACAGCCTTTTGATATTTGGTATACAGTATTATCACATGGTCCCATACTGTGGGATTTGATTTCAGGTCTGTTGCTCATCCACTTCCTGTCTGCCGACTTAGTAAAATTTTGACATAATTAATTATCAATAGATAGTAGGAAATTTTCGTAACTGTTTTCTCAGCAACTACTTACCACAGCTTCTTGATATGTGGTTCACAGCATTGACATGTGGTCCCATATTGTGGGATTCCATTTCAGGTCTGATGCTCATTACCAACTAAGTTAAATTTTCAACATCAATGGTCAAGACAGTGGTAGAAAATTTAAGTAACATCACAGCCTCATGATATTTTGTATACATATGCAACCCGGCCTTTTCTGTCTTTGACCCATTTTTATTAAGAAGAGATATTTAGTTGTTGAGTGTTTCTAACGAACAACTCCAGTTTGTGCGACAAATGTGAGGTATGGTCATTCTGTCTTCGACGAAAACGCAATGTGAACAACATTACTTAGAAAAAATACTCAATGAAAGTTATCTTTATAACAATATTAAAGAACAAACAATGATTACAAAACAAACTTAATTGATATGATGATGATTATTATTATATGATGGTGATGATGATTATTATTATTTTTCAGTTGTTTTTACTCAGTAGTGTTAGGATGGTGTTTCTATTATTTCATTTACTACATTGGTCACAGTCTGCCGGCCAGCAAAGAGGAAGCAGACCAGACTTTTAAGGATTATGCAGAGGTTGGTTATTCTTTCTATTTTCCCCGACTTTTTAAATACATTGTAGTTACCATGCTAATTGTGTTCTTATTTGTATTTGAAAGTGTCAGTTGTTGATGTATAACATCAAAATATCAAAATATTCAGATTTTAATAGCGCAGCAAACAGTAAATTGTCGAAATTTCACGGAGTCTGTAAAGGTCGCAGGGGCATATAGGGTAGCACTCGAACATCTCGGCGATTACCATTAAGCATAGCTCTAATCCGAAGTTTGTCGAAAAAGACCCGCGAAAAGTTGTGATTGTTTTTTAAACCACGACATTTATTTTCCCCTAAAAAACATTTACTTGCATTGTGAAGATGTCAATAGGTACCCTTTTTATGGAGCCTATCATCAATAATAGGCATATAGGTAACCGAATCCTGACAGAAAGGGTGGAATGGTTATGGTAGTGTACTTTGTGTGCAAAATAATTAAAAATCATGACGAAATAATAATCAAAATGATAATTTCAGGACAGTTACTGGCCGGTGTTAACGCACTTCATCGCCATATTATTCGGTGCATTGTGTGTAACCAGGGGAGTTAAGACGATAGAGAAAGTCAGTATTGTGTTAGTTCCCCTCCTACTTCTAATCATTTTGTTCACGTTCACGTGGTCTCTAACGAGAAAATACACAGACGTCGGCATCAGATTTCTGTTCACACCTCACTGGGGTATGAATTTAATAAATCTTTCATTTGATCACGACTGGCAAGATTAAGAAATTCATAAATTTATATGACACAGCTTAAATTCGTTACTTTCTGCATTTTTATAGACAAAAATCTTGTTTTATAACATCTGATGGTTCCAATTCAAAATATAAAAAATTGCAGGGGACCAGTTTGTTTCTACTATCACAAATTGTTTTTGTTACTAAAGTATTACGGAAAATGTAAAGAGTTCCGTTTGGTAAAAATCGAGAAATACAGGGCTCTTATTAAAAATGCTACTAGCATGTATATGTCTATATGTCTATACATTTTTTACTTAATTTTAACTTGACTAATGATCTCACATTTTTTAAGAATCATTCAAGGAGCCGAGGTTATGGGTAGATGCCATGAGTCAGAATGCTTTTGATACGGGTGCTGGTATGGGACTCATGATCCCCTATTCTGCGTACATGACGAAAAAGAATGGCATTGTCAAATATGGCCATCTTGTTCCTTCCATCAACAATCTTGTAAGGTAACTGATGACGTCATATCCGGTAGATTTAGTTTATTATGTCTGTAAAACCTAGAGAGGTTAATTTGGATATCACACTAGATCACTATATTCACTGAATATATAACATACATCAGTGTCTTTCAACAGACAGCGTCATGACGGCTGTGCATATTTATTTAAGTGTCCCTAATTGCATCTATTTTGTGAAAAATGATGACGTCCTTTCCGTGGTTTGGTTTTCAAACATTCTCTGAAATCATATGTTTTTAATTACAAATTTTTCTATATTTCATTTCGACTGGACTCGTTTTAATACAATTATGCATGCCATTTATTCAACTACATATGTTACATACATACTACATGAAGCCTTTAAGCATTTCCACAATATTCCGACAAATTTAAGCCAGCGTAGTATCTATAACAACTTTAACGAAAGGCGCGAAAAAGGCAAATTTACGGAAGCTTCAAAGGGCTCTTACGCGATCTTTTATGAGAAGATTTACGCAAGTCGAAAGAATTAAGGTGCAAAGGCATGATATCTTTAGTGTTTTCGCAAAAAATAATTCGAATAAACGAGAAGATTTGAGTTAATTGGCCAAATGTTTTCTTGCAAAAACAGAAACATTGCACATTACGAGTCAATTTTTGCGAGAAATTAAGAAAATGTGTTTTTTCGAAAAAAATGTAGACGCAATACATGCTACATTTCACTTTCTCGAAAAAAGAATATGACGCAATAACTTATACATTACACCTTCTCGCAAAATCTTTTGATGCATTACCCTTATACATATCGTTTGATGAAAAAATGTTTGCGCAATGCCTAAAGTTTATTCCGCTTTTCGTTATATTTTTGTCGAGATCGTCATTTTTGGACATGAGGCCATTCGAGAAGAAAAAATGGTAAGTTCTCCTGTTTTTGCTAAACTGGCAAATGCATGATTAGGCTTATTGTCTGAATAGGGAATCATTTTGATAGAAATATGCATCATGTCATTTGGTCATATTTTTTTCACATATCCATGCATTTGGTACTATCATTTGCTGATAAAACTGTAGACATTTTGTTGCAAAGAGTCTTGACAATGCCTTTGGAAATCCCGAAGGGTCCACGATCCAAGGAACTCTGAATTTCTGTTGATGTTCATTTGGATTATCTGGAAGTAATGTTATGTTTGAAAGGTCCAAATTTATCAATATTTTCGCCTTTGGCCCTTTTACGTATAAATTCATAAATAAAAAATAATAAATAAATAAATAAATAAATTTTTGAATGAACCTAATCGGCTATATAGTATAAGGAATGATGAGAATGAAGTTTGTAATATGTACAGTTACTTCCCTTATATTCCATTACTCCATTTTTTATTTCAGTTTGAGTGTGTCGGCATGGAAAACGAAAAAACAGAAACTTCCGTTGAAACTATGTTGTACAGCCATGAATTTTGGACTATGTGCACAGTTTTAGTTGTAAAATTTGACTGTGATCAGGTGAACTAGATTTTGATGATGTGACCTACATGTACTTTCTTGTCCTTTGATGTGCAGTTATGAAATTGGAACCATGTGCACAGATTAAGATGTAAAGTGAACTTTGTAATCAGCTGGCGTAGATTTTGACAAAGTGTCTTACTGTGCTAGCCTTTGATGTACAGTCATGGAATTTTGGCCATGTGAAAATTACCTTCACCACCAAATTCACTAGACTCAACTGCATTGATAGATTTCTACTCTGATCTTTCATTTGAATAACAATCGATTTAACCACTAATCTGTTAATTAAAATTAGATAGGTCAGTGATCTGTGCATTATGGCAATCTTCAATTGTATAGAAGTAAAAAATTCTGTTCTTACATTACTATTTAGTGTTGTACATGTACATGTATTACTGCGGTGGCATAGCATTTTTCACAAATGCAATCTTGTTTGGAACTGATTTAAATTTTAATATAACAGCTGCCATGTGTTTAAATTCTGAAAGTAAAGTTAGTATCTAACTTTTACAAGTTCTTAAATTCAAACATCAATTCAAATATAAATTTCCAATCAGTATTTTTGAAGTTACATTTTTCTTTGATGTGTGAAGGCAAGTATATTGCTTATATTTTAAAGTAACTACAAAGTCTTAATTTTTAGCATGCTCTGTATTTTATTCTTATATCTTTATTGTGATAAAACAGAAACAAAGTATATAAACCTGAGTCTTAGTCTTAACTAGGTGAAAAAAAAGAAAACAAGTCTTATCCAATTAGTAATTTTCTTTGATGTATGATGGCAGGCAATGCCAAATTTTAAAGTAGCTACAAAGTCTTAATTTTTAGCATCCTCTGTATTTTAGTCTTATATCCTTATTCTGATAAAACAGAAACAAAGTATATAAACATTTTGCTGAGACTTAGTATTAACTAGGTGAAGTATAGAAAATCAGTCTTATCCAATCAGTAATTTTGAAATTACATTTTTCTTTGATGTATGATGGCAGGCAATGCCAAAATTTTTAAGTAGCTACAAAGTCATAATTTTTAGCATGCTCTGTATTTTATTCTCATTCCTTTATTGTGATAAAACAGAAACAAAGTATATAAACATTTTGATAAGTCTTAGTCTTAACTAGGTGAAGAATAGAAAACCAGTCTTATCCAATCAGTAATTTTGAAGTAACATTTTTCTTTGATGTATGATGGCAAGTAATGCCAATATTTTAAAGTTACTACAAAGTCTTAATTTTTAGTGTGATCTGTATTTTCCTTTTATATTTCTATTGTAATGTAACAGAAACAAAAGTTTCTTATATATAAATATTTTGTTGATTTTAAGCCTAATATATATTAGGAATAGAAAATAAGTTTTCTTTAATTAGTGCCTTTGGTGTTACAATTTTCTTTGATGTATGTTGGTTAGTTCTGCAAAAAAATAAAAGTCATAAACTTTTTATGCGATCTGTTATATTTTATTTGAAATAAAACTAGAAATCATTCTTTGTTGTATTGTTCAGAAGTTGCATTATCAGCATTGTTTTGAAACCATTTTGGAATTCATAAAAAGCTAGTATCCGGGTGTGTCTTATGTAATAACATTAAAGCCCTGGCATGGACAATGAAATAGTTAATAGGTTTTAAGATTTGACATTGAATTGTGACTGTAAATTCTATTAAGTAATTTTTTATGACAATTTTATCATACAGAACCAATTTTCAGTTCTACTTTTTTCTAACCTTTTATCATAACAGTCAGGTTGTGATTTCCATTGCAGTCCAAAACTTTAACTTATCGAAAAAGAGCTATTGTAGTCACCCGACTGTAAACGTCGGTGTAACCACTTATGTTAAAGTTTTTGTAATACCTCAAATATTTTCAAAGTCCATTGACATATGGCTTTGTACCTTTTTACATTTGTTCAACATCATGACCCCAACCTGTAGACAGAAGGAGGTAAGTGTATCAAGCATTTGTACAGAATTATGCTCCTTTTCTGTACGAAATCTGCTGTGGTCATAGTATTATTTTTACAATAGGTTTACCTCTTAGATTTGGTTCGCTAGCTATTTCTAATCATGGTCATGCAACTACATAGTTAGGTTAAGAAGCAGGCGCTTGTTTTGGTTGAGTCTACTATGTTTTGTTTAGGGGGTGAGTTGTCATACACAAATTTACAATTTATATGCATTCATTTTTTTCCAATGATTGTTATTATCTTAAATGCTTCTGGGATTGTTGTTTAATCAATTCATTTGTAAATTAGATTGTAATATGTCTATTAACGGAATAATTTTAATGAACACGAAATTAGTTCATACCTTTATGTGTATTGATAACGTGACGGTTTAAGCCAATGAAAACACATCAATATTATTACAATCAGGCAGAGAAAAGGTTTGCAAAAAGTAAATCGATAATCTTTATGTAGCAAACAAACTTTGAATTGCAAGAATTTTTTCATATCTTTTCGGCAGGTTAAACTGTCCGAGGAGGGCCAGGCATTTTCGTATCGTAAAATGGCTGCCATTTACAGTATAGTGATTATCCCAAGCACCACCGCGATTTAGCGCGGGAATTATAAATATAGCTAACCTCGGCGCATCGCATAGGATAGAAACTACCTTTTTTCATATTTTATTGTAATAGATATTTACAAACTGTGTCTTTCGGGTTTTTTTTATCAATATATAACCAATAATGATGTTAATATGAATAAATAATCATATCTCAAATCTGCGACTATGACTTACAATGAAACTCTACCTTTAGTGTATTAAAAAGGTTTATAATTTCCTGTAATTTTATTCTGTGATTATGCTTCAAAAGAGTCAATTGACCGTTAATTTTCTTTTCATATTTTTTTTCCTTGAAATCATTTTTCTCATCTGAAGGCATGCAACTTTAATATGATGATACATTAATTACATTCCATGAAAATGTTTAAAGATATAAAATATCTCATGACATGTTTGTACATTTTACATTACACCTATAATGCAGCAAGCATAAAAAGTCTTCTTAAAAAGTAGTATGCAATCGTATCTATATTACATACGAAAGTATGTAATATTTTTCTTGTTTAACTTAGAATTTACATTAAGGTTTGCATACCACCTCAAATAGTTTTATATTCTATTGAAACAAGTTGAAATTGTATACTCTTCTTTGAGAGCATAATAGGACTCTCTCCGAGGCCTATAACTGTAACATGTATTAAAGAAAAAAAATTCCATTCGTTATAAACACATAAAATTTTACATTTTCAAGGCTCTTTAACTATCAAGCATTAAGAATAGTCGAGCATTTGCCTTTATAGTATTTCTTTAAGACCGCCTTTAAATAGAGTAATAAATATGACCTTGACACCTAAATGACATTCATCGTCTTGGTCATTTTTACCTCGACATTTAAAAAAAACAAAAAAAAACAAAAAAACAACAACAGAAGAGGTATTGTTATAGTCCTGGCGGCGTTGCCGTCTGCAAACTGGTACCTAGATCATAACTTTTTTAGTTCTTGGTGTATTGTCTTCATACTTGACCACACTAACTCTTGGGACAAGACCTTTCAGAAGACTACACTAACATTGACCTTCAGTCATAAATTACCTTGATCTTCAAGGTCATCTGTCCAAATTTTGCTTGTTCTTGCTATTATTGGTTGTCTCTTTGTTATTTTTGAATCGATTGTCTTCAAACTTGAAAATAATAATCTTCAAGGATAGCTCTTTTAAATAATCAGACAGACCTTGACCTTCACTTATAAATGACCTTGACTTTGAAGGTCAAATTATTGAATTTTTATTGATTTACATACATACATACATATTTTCTTCTGTAATACGCATGCGGATATATATGGGCAGGATTCATACAAACAAAATTATAAAAAGGAAACGTTAAGATTTGTTAAAACATTTATTTGTTTGCTTTCAGAAAAAGTAAAAAGTCGAGAGTGGCCCCGCCCGGCGGTGGCTCTTGTTTTAATTTGTCCTAAATGGTCCATAATTTTATTTATAGATCGATTTGATTCATAAATCTGACCTTGACCTATGATTGACCCTGTTCACTCAGCTTGTGGTCATGTTTTGTTTTCCTATCGATATATATTTGCGTAAGAAGCAGCCTTAAAGTTAGTATTCGAGCTGCCCAGTGGCCTAGCAAGGGGGATTCATATAGCCACAAAATAGTTTAAGAATAATGTTATGTATCAAAAATGCCTTTCTCAGACTAAGAAGAGATAAGGTTTATCGGTTTCAAAGGAAAACAACTCACAGCAGCCTAACGTTAACTGCTTGGCAGTCTAAGTACTAGAGGTGTTCTGTTGTGTGCCGCCTGGTGCTTCGGGTGGCTGCAAGGCGCTACAATATTGTTATGACTGGAGCAACATGAGTGGCTGTCTGCACTGTAAAGTTTCTAGTGGCTTTCGATGACATTTGTGCAGAGCGTTTTTATTTTCCAAAAGGCGACCTACATTAAATTCAATTTAAAAACTAACATGTGACTTTTACCACCATTTGACATTGACAGTCTTTTCGTGGACAGATGTGTAAGACATGATGCGTTCCTTTGTTACTTTATCCTCCAGAAGGGGCATATAGTTTTTGACCGTTCAATCCGTCAGTGCTATAAATCATAAATAAAAAACTGTTTGCAAACCAAGCACTTTCAAAGCACGGGGAAAGTTTGATAGTTCCAGGTGTCTAAAGGGTCGATATGCAACAGTGAAAGCATTCATCGTTAGGAATGATCTGTCTTTGTTTAGTAAAAACAATTTTGCAAATAATTTCGTTTTATTACGGTGACTTTATAAACAAAGCTGTGTATACTAAATACTAACTTAAAATGTTTTATTGTGGACATGCAGAAGTCGTTCCTACCATTTCCTGTTACGTGTCTTTTAATTTTTCCCATATAAAATTATTGGGCCTTACAAACATAAAGAAATACCTTAGGATGTCATTATTAGATTTTCAGCTGAGCATTACGTTGGCTGGACAGGTTTGACAGATTAAGTGTTCACTTAAGCTCTGGTATACCTCTAGGTAAAATCTACAAGACTTAGATTGCTTTGAACTGCTTATAAACTATAATCTTTATTTGATTGACTTATGTATTAATAAAAAGTAAGTTTCGTATGTCAAGAGAAACAAAATGGGTTATTCATCACATTAAAAGATAACTCTAGTCTGTAACATATTATCACCATAAAAAGTTTGAAAACAATACTTTTCCGTTTTTATTTAATACCTCTACAAATGTGACAAATTGACATTAGATATGTTTCGATATTCTTAATCTATCGGATACCTTACACGCTATCAGATATATGTACATAAATGAAATAATTTTAGGGAAATTAACACATTTCGATTCCATATCATTTTAACAATTATCAAACATACATGTATTTGCATGTGCATAATACAGACATAATAAGAAAAAACTCCACGTGGCCTATTTACTACCGCTGTCATATACCCCGTGAAATGTTTCCTAATCACTAAAAATCTAATTCTGTAGTAATCGACTATGAGGCGATGATAATATGTTTTGATAAACATCGCTTGCTTGTTCTGCAGTGTTCAGTTGTTGACAGAAATGTGCATTTAACCCCATCCAATTTTCACTCAACTGCACCATTTCGCTGCAACAACCATGGATAGGTGGTTCCTCGGTATACACCCGCACCAGATTCTCCAATTCTTCTTCAGAACAATTTATTGCAAACGAACAATCTGTATAACCGAACATCCTTGGCTGATAATACATCATGTTGGGTTTACCTGTTACAGTCTCGCAATAAGTTTGTGCCCGAATCGTATGTATATTCCAGGATTTCTTAAAACTGTCAAGATGATTTTGAATGAGAGGCATAAAACAAAGTCTGAGGCATTCGATTTGCAACTGATCGGTATTATCAAATAGGTTTTGATCAATCAAATCTTTAAAGAAGTTCCTCCAATAACAAATAAAGTTTCTCGAGAGGAAACTCCAAAGCATTTCAATTCTTTGATTTGCAGTTGATCTCCCAACAGAAACAGAATTGTAGCCTGACATGCTATCAGTATGTGACATTCTAAGTGCGATCTGAAGGTTCTCTAATGTACAGTTTTCAGTCCCTGCAACAACCCTTACCATTCTTGGTACATGATCACGTTTCGTTACATGTTGCATGAAATAAAATGCAATAAAAGCAGGTTTTTTATTTGATGGTGCAGCTTTCAACCATAGAATTTAATTTTTCGGGAAAATCCATCTATAGCTCCGTGAATTGATATTCCAAATGGTTTTAGATTGTCATATCCGTCGAAATGAATTACGAAGTTTGGGCCTCGATTGAAATATTTTCTACGTCTTAATCGTCTTGCTTTCCTGTTGACTACTTCTCCACAAGGGTCTAACGCCTTAAGACAAATCCTCACTGTATTTTGATGTGCTCTGATTCCATATCTCAAAAAAATGCATTCTCCATGCTGCTCTGTAACCTAGTTCGGAATACCCCTCTCGATGTAGCTGTACTATTCCCCGAGTAATATCCTCTGGGTTGCTTTCTTCACGTCTTCGTAAGTTTAAACGTCGAAGAATTCTTTCTGTTTTAGTTTTGGAAACTACAATATGGTGAACAAACATTCCAACCATTTCCGAATGCGTATAACCAAGATTGAAGTATTTTTGGACAGTATTGTGTAGGCTCTGCTCATCTGGTAGCATACCATAAGACAACTTGATATGAATTGCCACAAGAAGTATCTGAAAGTAATCAAAAAGCAATGTAAATTATTAGATTTTTTCACTGAATACAAACACATTCAATAGCAACATGCCTCCAGGTTCTTGCTTATTTTTATGAAATTTTTAAAAATGTATTTAAATGTCAAGTACATTGTATTGTAAAATGAACAAAGAAAGTAATTATACATTGCAAACGGCATGTACGAGTACAATCCACGTTAATAATCAAAAAGAGGTCAAAATATACATAAAAATCTCTTACTGCGTTAGTAACGCAGAACTAGTGATTGATACTTCAAAAGCAGTCATTAATCGCTCAAAACATGTAAATAATTACTTTACTATTGAATCTTCTTACTTTTTAAAGATCTTAATAAATTTTCCAAAGATTCAATTTCTTGAAATATTTTGGCTCATGTGGAGGCGTGTCTCAGTACTTTTGCAAAGAACATTTTCTATTTCTATTAAATTATGTAAAATAAAAGATAACGACAACGACGACGCATAAGACTAAGACAACTATTAATATAAATACTACTTCTACTACATAACTACTACTTACTTACTACTTACTTACTACTTTAGCTACTACTATCACATGTATTTCTACTTATTATTACCTACTTCAGCTACTACTGCTACTGCTACTTATACTACTTCTACTTCTTAGGCAATTACTACTACTGCTGCTACTGATAGTACTTCTACTACTGCTGCTCCTCCTACTACTACTACTGCTGCTGCTGTTTCTGCTGCTAGCAATACTAGGACCAATACTACTGCATGGTTGAATGGCGCTTTTTCAATAATCGGGATATTTTAGAGGGTTTAAAACAACAACAAAAACAATCGACTCTTTCAAACAACTATGTAAATAATAATACACATCTATATGAACTTTCTTAAACACAACTTTTTAAACCGTTTGGAACATCGAATGCGAAGTGTTTTTGAACCATAAAAATATTTCCTCAAAACAATGTTCGTTATCAATGTCGGAGTAACAGGAAGTATTCGAAAAGATTTGCTTATTATGGAACTGGATGTAATAAATTTTAGTAATCAGTTATTACTAAATTTCATTATGTCATTCCCTCGAAAAACTCCCCTTTACTAGAAATGCATGATTTTAGTCCGGAATGCGTCACGGTACGCTGATTTGGGTATACTAGTAGGGAGATCCAAGATTAGTGTCTGTCTTGTATCATATAGAACTATTTCCAGCGATTTTTATTAGTTTTTTTTTATTTCTATTAATTTCGGAAGAACAAAAAGTCGCAAGGGGCAAGGTTTGGTGAATAAGTAGTGTGCAATAAAAATGTTACCTTTCATCTGTATAATGGCAGATAATGAGCTTGGGCATTGTGTAGAAGTATATTTTTGAAACCGGTTCATTGCGGACGTGTTTTAAAAGTATTTTTTCATTTCTTCAATAGTGCACTTTTATTGTACTTTCTAGTAAATTGCAACATGTTCACAAGTTAGAGAAGAAAATTGCATATAAAACTTTTTCACTTAAAAAGCGTTTTAGCAATAACATGCCACTTGGTAGCTTTGCAGCCAATATTGTATTTACAATTTTTCGTATGGTTCAAATAAATGCACCCAAATTTCATTCATATTATTACATTTGCAAATTTCTTTTATCATATTTTGGTAAACTGTTCCAAGCATATTATTATGTAAAATAGATAAATACAGAATCCCTAAAGAAAGCCCAACACGGCAAAATTGAAAATGTTGCAGGCTCGGTTTCATTGAGCCTGTTCATGGACGGTACTGGAAAGTGCAAGTTACCGTCCACGCCCCCCCCCCCAGCACCGGCTTAAGCAGAATTCAACATTTAAACGTGAAATTGTAAAATTGTGAATTTAGAAACATCCGCAGATGTGTTCATACGGCGGTTATCATGGAACCTTCAATGTGACACTTATGTAAAACAAATTATCATAATTTGTTGATTTTGTTTTCAAAGTCACTGTGACCTTGACCATAACCCGACATAATCCATTGTATAAAATGATCTACATGTACCTTACATTGAGATTCACTTTCTGACAAAGTTTAGTCAAAATCAAAGCAAAAATGAAAACGCTAGAGCTTTAACGCCAACTTTTTTTACGGACGATGGATGACGGAAAAAATGACCACAAAAGCTCATGATGTTACGTGGCAGGTGAGCTAACACATTATGAAATTTGACCTTGATATCGGTATGACCTTGAAAGTTTAACATATTAGTGATGATATTACATAACTTTTTTTTATTGAATTTTGTATTATTTTCAATACTTACCTCAATAAACACGTTTGGCAAATTCCATATGGAATTCTTTAATATGACATTGCACTGGCAATTAAATTCTTTACAATGAAACAGAGATATGCTTTGTTAAGTACTTCATTGGTTACTGTTGCCAGTCGCAATACAACTAGTTATATTAAGTACTTTGATTTTACTTTTAATAATGTCATATATATTGATAATTATGCATCCTTTTTTTCTGAAGTAAATACTAAGGTTAATTAAGATTCCTAAAAATGCTGAGCTTGGTAAGTGTTTATCCTGTTATTGCATGCTTACAATCATTTTAAACCATTTTTTAGGGAGGGGGCCCACATAAATTTTAAGGTAATTTAAGAATACTGTTCAGTCTGGATGAATAAATAAATTGGAGTAATATAGTTATTTTGTCGTTTTAGCATTTTTATGCCCCCGAAGGTCGGCATATAGTAATCGCACTGTCCCTCTGCCCGCTCTTCCAAACGTTTGTCCGATAATCATGTCCGCGCTTTATGGGGCGATTTCAGTGAAACTTCACAGGATTGTTTGTCACGAAGTCTAGTTGTGCATTGTAACACCGCACTTTGGGGTCAAACGCACTATGGGGTTCGACCCCAAAGTGCGTTAAACTTCGCACCGCACTTTGGGGTCCAACGCACTTTGGGGTCAAAATCGAGAAATTGACCCCAAAGTGCGTTAATATGCTACATATCAACGCACTTTGGGTTCAAGAGGTCTAAAGGTGTCATCTGAGTTCTGCTTAAATACTGAGTACTGACTTATTTTCAATCTGCGACATTGGAATATTTGAGGTGGAGTTCAAGATGGCGGTCAATACTTTATGATGCTTAAGTGATAAAAGTTTCATTAATTTTACCACTTGAAATATCTAAAAATTGTGTTCATATATAAGAAAATTACGGTGGCATAAAAGTGACATTTGCAATTTTTTGTTATAAGTTTTGTATACATATTTTATTTTAGTTTCGCATACATATTTTTTCAGTTTTGCATACATATTTTTTTAGTTTTGCATTCATATTTTAATTTTGTTTTTCGTACATATTTTATTTTTGTTTTCCATACATATTTAAGCCCATCAAAACAGCCTTCAAATCTCATAACAGCCCATAGATTAGTTGAGTATAAAACTAGCACAGTGGTTTGGTCACATTTCTGCCCATTCTTGAAATCGGCCAATCGTTTTCCGAGGGTGGGGGAGTCTGGTTTCGGCCGACCTTTTTCGGCCCATTTTTTCATATTACATATAACTATTTTATATAATACTTGTTTATTATCATTATATACTATTATATAAGTGTCTATTTGGAAAGGGCTGTTGATTGGTGATCAGTTATTATTCCATGAATATGCACCACTCAACTCCACCCCCTGAGAATTGAGAATTATGAAACTTAGGTCAATTCTTTAGCACATCCAGATAATGTGCAGAACATATATGCCAGGTGTGCCCGGCTCAAGGTCGGGGTCACACCAACAGATCAAAGGGTAAAGACTTGGGTTTCATGTCCGCTCCTTATCTCCGAAACCCTTTAAGGATTTTAAGGCACCTTGTGACAAATGTTAACCACATCGAGACCATATGCAGAACCTTTCTTTGGGTTACCGCGGACTATATAATATATTTTATAACTAAAAAAGAATATGTATGCAAAATTTAAATAAAATATGTATGCAAACTGAAAAAGAATACATTTGCAAAACGAAAAAAAGTATGTATTCAAAACCAAAAAAAAAATATGTACGACAAACAAACAAAAATTTGTACGAAAAAAAAAAAAAAAAAAAAAAAAAAAAAAAAAAAAAGTATCAAAAAAAAAAAAAAAAATACAAATACACTTATATGCCACCGTTCAAAATACTCCAGTACAGAAATTGTGTATTTCTAGAATTAAAAGATGCTGCGAAAAATATCGCGTTCTGTCGGTCATTTACTTGATAACTTTGGGTGCCATATTGAGCTCTATTTTAAATATGTTGGGAATGAAATTAAATGCAGTTAGTATTTTTTTCCAAAGATCTATAAATATACTCTATTGCAATGTTCTGGTGAAACATCAAGTTTTTCGATCGGTCTATAAATAGTGATTTTTACAAATACATTAATAAGCTTATCAACAAACTTAAGGGTTTTTGTAAGCTCCGTAACAACCGTTCGCCAGAGGTTTTTTATGGGAAATCTTACATACTTCTTTAGGAACAGCAAACATGAATTCTATAATGTTAAAACAATGGTATCAGAGAAATGTAAAGTAGCGATAAATGTGAAATTATTTGTCATAAAAGAAGTCAAAACACTGTAGTATTTGACTTCCATATAAAATACTAATTCACTATAACTGTACTCATCATTGCCAAAAAGCAACAGATCAAAAAGATTGTTCAGGTAATTGGCCAATGTGTATTTTTTGGATAATATAAAGGAACATCAAAATGAAAAGGCTTTTAAGAAAAACAAATAAAAGCATAATGGGCCTTTAAACGGTATTTTTAACCCTCGGGGGGATCGATACCCCACAATCCCCTTTATACACCAAGTGAGAATTTTACATTATTCTGAAGCTCCACTCTTAATGTGCGACTACTTACATAGTTGATATTTTTAGTACTGCCTGTACGGACTACTACTTAAAGCCGCAATAGGGCTCGTATACCTAGTCAAGTTTCTTATATGTCACATTTAGCTGAATTAATGGCTCTTTCAACATATTATCAGGCACATTTTTTACTGAAATGTCTTACTAAGATTTCCCAGAATTTATACCTTTGTCTATGCTAAGACTATCATATTTCTATAAAATGTGGAAATAACAAACGGAAAAATAATGCATTTAGCTAAAAACAATGGAGTTGATGAAAGGTGTGCATTCTTTTAAAATAAATGGAAAATTTGAGAAAAAATATTTAAAAATTTGATACAAATTCTTTATCTAGTGATTTATTTGGTGAAAGTTCTTCACTTACTAATCAAGATCATTTAAATCTCTATTGATTCTACTATAATTCAGGGCACATGTTTGTGTCTATTTAATACCTTGAATTTTTGTTTACCATTGGCTTTGACTACAATATATTATTTAAAACATAATGAACATTAATTTTCTATGACCCCAAAGTGCGGTCGTTTGCCTGATGTTAAAAAATGCATATGTACCTGTTTAACGCACTTTGGGGTCGAAATTGGACCCCAAAGTGCGTAACGCACTCTGGGGTCGGACCAGAGCTTCCTATCGGGGGCAGCTCCTGTTTAAGAATTTGTTTCCGTGGATTAAAATGCAAAATGAGGTAGGGAATGGCAACCGTAAATCACTCACTATGAAATAAGCTATCATGAAAAGCCAAATGAGTGAGAATCTAACAAAGGGTGTAATACGACATGTACCTACTTAGACTGATACTTGCTGGGCTGCTACAACCACCGCCGCCAGCACCGCCACTTCTACAACTCCTATTACAACTAATTGTAATACTACTAATAATGATGATGATAAAAAATTATTATTACATACCAATACTGTTAAAACTTTCTCCATGACTTCGACAAATACGCTGCGTGCTATCACAATTTTATTAAAACTTATTTAACGAAATAATAAGCCATCGTATGCAAAACGGAAGACGATCTCGACAAAATTTATAACGAAAACCGGAATACACTTTAGGCATTGCGCAAACTTTTTTTCATCAAATGAAATTTATTATGGTAATGCATCAAAAGTTAATGCGAGAAGGTGAAATGAATTAGGTATTGCGTCATAATCTTTTTCGAGAAAGTGAAATGCATCATGTATTGCCTCTATATTTTTTTCGAAAAACACCTTTTATTAATTTTTCGTCAAAATATTAATCGTTATGTGTAATGTTTCTGTTTTTGCAAGAAAACATTTGGCAAATTAACTCAAATCTTCTCGTTTATTCGAATTATTTTTTGCGAAAACACTAAAGATATCATGACTTTGCACCTTAATTCTTTCGACTTGCGTAAATCTTCTCATAAAAGATCGCGTAAGAGGTGACCCTTTGAAGCTTCCGTACAAATTAACGCGAAACAATTTTATTTAGTGAAACTTACTTGGCGTCATAATGCCTTTCCGCTTAATAACAGCTAATGTTAATACGTGACTTTTTCTTTCGCGTTATTAATATGCCTTTTTAGTTTTTTTGCGCCACTTTTCATGATTTCATTTTATTAAACCTTTCACGGGCGCCATTAGGCTTTCTTAGTCTGACTGCGTTTCATAGAAAGTCCCACGTCTGAATTCGGTCTTCAGACCAAAGCTGAGACAATTTTGTGTTTCAAAGAAAACTTTTAAACTTATGACTCGTATTTCATCATATGTTCATGTCTTTATTTAATTTCTGAAAAGCAATACAGATGAGCAATAACATATTGTGAATAAAACGATCTCTAATTGAATTCCTGAAATTTCCATAGGAAAAGAATTATAGTCTACGGTCTTTGACTGAATATAAAACCTTTATTGAAACGGTCTTAAGTTACCGTATTGTGTTTTCACATTTTCTTGGCGAAACTGACGTAAAACAGCCACCATATTTGATCATTTGAACTCTTGAAAAGAACTCGACAACAACTAATTTTTGTTTTATTGATTCAGTTTATTGTGCGGGATAACTATATTTGGCACGGTTTTCTCGTCTTTGATGGAAAGTCGACCTTATGAGACCCAGGCAGACATTGTGAATATCATGAAGGACAGCGGACCAGCAAGCACAGGGCTTACATTTATATGGTATGATAAAACATATACGTTTCACCGTTATTAAGCTTATAAGCTTGTGATGATGATGTTTATGATGATGATGATGATGATGATGATGATGTTGATGATAATGATCATGTTTATGATGATGATGTTGTTGACGATGATGATGATGTTTGTGATGATGATGATGTTTATGATGATGATGATGATGATGATGTTTATGATGATTATGTTTATGATGATTATGTTTATGATGATGATGATGATGATGATGATGATGATGATGATAATGATGTTTATGATGATGTTTATGATGATGATGATCGAATTTTGGTTGAATTTTGCAATAGAGCCTAAAATTCAAAAACTTAAATGTGAATTTGTATAAATTCACCACTATATCGGGGCGCATATTATCACACGCATATTAATAATTATACCTATTTGTGCAGATCAGCAAAGAAATATAATTGATTTCGAAAAGTTATTTTGCAATGGAACGCCACTTTGGTAACCCGTGAACATTTTTTATTAAAAGCGACTGTCTTTTATAAAAAAAAAAATATTTTTGTTAATTAATGCAGGATGCCGGTGCTGTTTGAGACGATCGGGTCATTTGGTCGTGTTATGGCAGTGTTGTTCTTCTTATGTCTGTCGTTTGCTGGAATAACATCTTTAATGTCCAATTTAGAGTTGATGACTAAAACTTTCACTGATTTTGGTTGTAAGTATACAACTTTTATAAAGAAAAGTGTTAGTATTACTGTCTAGAGAGCTGTCTGTACATTGCTTGGAGCCCATAAGTGCTATTTCTGAAAGTGACACGATTCAAATTTGTTATTGCTTTATGAAATGTAAAACTTTTCACAAATATATCAACTTTTTGCCAAGCGTGCCTCTTTTAATAGTTCTGAATACATGTGTACATGTATCGTAATAGGAAATGCTGACATTACTCTATATATACGTTTAGGGTTTTATACAATGTTTATTTATTTGTCAAGAAGAATTTAAAACCATCCAAGACCCTGTGCGAAAAGTGTTTTTAATCTTTAAATTTGATTTTGTTGTTGTTGTTGTTGTTTTCAGTGGACAGAAAGTACGGGATGTCGATAACTGTAATATTAACATTTTCACTAGGATTACCTTCAGCTTTGAATATAAATATTCTCACTAATCAGGTAGGACTTTATTCGTATATCAAATTTACCGCTTTGTTTATTTTTTCGGCAAAGACATTACGTCATAAAGCACGCGATTGGCCACCGTGTAAATGCAACATAATTATATTGATGCAATTTTTCTCTACATTTAGAGTTACAACTTATCATAATTATTGTATTATGTTTTGATATAATATAACCAAATGAAAAATTAAATCTTGCTTGGCCAAGCCCATTTTTTCATTTAATAAACAACGGCAATATTGAATTTACAAGTGATATATCTTATATCCATCGTTTTTTAAATGATTCCAGTTCATCTTAAACGATTTAAATCTTAATCTAAATCTTCACAGAAGCGCAGTGTTATCTATAACAACAAAATGACAACAACAAAAACAACAACATTTATTGAACCTTTATCGCATAAAAAATGTTGAATCTTAATTGAACATTTCTGGAGTCTACCCAGTAGAGTTGCTATCTGAGGAACAATGGTCGCAACCCATGAACGGCTCAAACTTGCGACCAGAAGGTCGAGTGCAGACACCTTTGTCACTATGCCATCTCTTTTTATTGTAAAATAATTAAAACGATATACATACATATGCAATGTACTTTCAATTTTCAGGATTTTGTTTGGGGTTTTGCACTTGTAATTAACGGAATGATGATGCTCTACATGGCTATGAGGTTTGGGATCCGGAAGTTCCGTGACGTCATTGTTAATAACTATAGTGAGAATGACTGGAAACTTACTATATTCTGGGAAGTTATTATACGGTATGTGCTTAAAAAGTGTAATAGTTTTCATCGATATATATTTGAAGAACATAAGTTATCGAACATAAGTTATCGCTACCAATAGTTATTTGCTGGTCAACTCATAACAGAGGGTAAATGCACCTTTATTCGTACGTCAATATTTGTAGAAGCAGAGTTCAAAGTTATTTCAATTAGTCTATATTCCATTGTTAATTAATTTATGAACATTTCATTTTAATTGTCTATGTTTCATGATGTCTAATTATTATCATTCAATATTATACTACATTCTAGTTCAGAATAAATTACGTATCACGTATCTTATACTAGGCCCTAAGGTGTCCATAAACGCCTATGTTACTTTAGAGACAGTATGAAAATTAAAACCAACGGGCCCTACTATTGAGGCCATTTTTCTTCCAGTACCACAAGCGGTCTCATTAGAGATGTATGTTATTTATTCTTTACCTATATCTGGTAAATTGACGTAAGATGTCGCTGACGCTAATAGTGCCAATTTCATTTGTTTAATTAATGTTTTATTTTTATTTTAATTGTAAGAGTTGTGGCCCCTATTGAAGCAATAGTTCTGATTGTATGGTGGGCTGTCGATCTGATAAATCAGGATGAAGGTGATGGCGAGGCATGGTATACATTCGGTCGTGAAACTCTAGTCATGACTGTCACTCAGGTACGTGCACTTCCGTGTGACGTAATTTCCGGTCCAATATTTGACGCCATTGTCGATCTTTTGTAACAGATACATTTTTTGTTTTAGTGTCCAACTTTATTTGTCATCCAATGGAAACGCTGTATTTCTTCAAAATAATGATAGATACTATATCAAATACTGTTCATAGTCGCCTTCTATTTATCATAGTGCTTTGTAAAAATAGTCATTTGCATAAATTTGCACATGCGCTTTCGTGGGCCGCTTTTGATATATTATTAATTAAGTAAAAATGACGTCAAAAGGTCAACCTACATTATTTTTTCATTTATTGATAAAGGATATACATGCAGTTTAGATTTAAATCGACGTCTTTGCGAAAAAAGATACTGCATGTGTTAAAGTAAAAACCAATACAAAAAGTCAATTCATATTTTTTATTACGAATGTAGAAAACGGTCTTAATTAATTTGTAACTAAGAGGAAAGTCACGTGTGTCTATTCACTTTTTTTTTTCGGTAGACAGAAAGTGAAAGTAGACATTATTTTTTTGGAAAATATATTACGTGACCTCGTGTTAACACATGACAATTAGTGTATACATGTATAAATCATATAAGATATTAGCTACTGAGTATCAGTTGTCCAATTCATCAAAGTGTATAAATCATATCAGGTAACAATTATCCAACTCATCAAAACTTTTTTTTGAAAATAAATTTATGTTTCAATATTATGCCGCAACTGAAACACAAGGGGTACATTGTCTACGTAAATCATGCATATTTATAAAGTCAAATTTTAAACCCACCATTCAGGTAATTGTTTTGTAAAGCGGTCTGGTAGTGACGTAATAAAATGAATATTAATGAGGCCAAATAAAGTTTGACACTAAATATGTTAGTATTCATCCGTATTGTTTGATTTTATTAACCTGTCAATTCCATACTGATTATACGGTCAATGCACAGAATATATTAATATCCGATAAATGTTCGGTAAATTCCGTGAAAGGTACGCAGTAAGATATGATTAAATTCATCTTGTTTCCATGAAGTATTTACTCTGACCGTTATAGTGCAATAGGGTAAACCACTGGTATATATTATCTAATTGTCCAGCGTGTTGTAAGATCGAGGCAGAGTTTGTCCATATTTTTTTTTATTCATAACTATTTTCATGGAGCTAAATATATCTGTGCTATTTTTCAACATTTGTTCTTTCTATTTGTAATAATTATGTTTTGCACTTTTTTTGTACATACTATACTTTTGTATGTAACATTGTTTTACAAATAATATTGAAAACTCATCCGAAGCCGTAAAATACAATACAAAACATGACAATTCAGTCTTTCTTAGTTGTTTCATATGCGTGTAGACAATTTTGCAAGCGCTTGACCATTTTCATTTAAAATATACTTAAAAATAAAGAAAGAATAAGGCTAAAAAGAATGTCAAAAGAACGGGTCGAACATGGGGCCTCTTATGCATTAGTTAAGCACTTAACCGACTGTGCTATTGCGGATGTTACGACAACCTACATTTAGCTAGTGGGAGTTTCCAAACGTAATTGATATCACTCCATATTAATTCTCGTAAAATAAACGAACAAAACCGAAGTGGGATCGAATATTTAAATGAGTGCTATAATGTATTCATAATTGACAGGTCAATAAAATCAGACTATAGCTGTTCTACAGAAATTAGTAACATTCTCCGGTCGCTATCGCTCCCGTCAAAGTTTCTAATTTCTGTAGAACAGCACGGATGAACACTAACATGTACTTAGTTGGTCATATTCAGATTTTTTTTAATAATAACAAAATACTTGGTCGCTTTAAAAAAAACTGTAGTCATTGTTCGGGAAAGTTGACGTCATTCCCGGACTGACGTCAGTTTACTTAATATCAACTTAATCGGTTTTAAATTAAGACTGTAACCAGATATAATTTGTTAGAAAGAAGTTGAAGGAGAATTTTTGATAAAATAACATTTAAATAAGTAAAATAAATACAAAATGTGCATGCAAATAAATGTGTGAAGCTTCATTTGCATATCTAAATAACATAACGTTTTCTATTATAATAATACTTCACGTTTTCATTGGATGATCGTGACGTTTATATACATGTAATTTTACAATATACACGACTGCTGTCCTTTTTATGAATGTATTACTTTTTCCAAATAAAAGAAGTTGTAAATTCGTTATAAAGATTTTTAACAGGTTGTATTTTTGACCCGTGTTTGCAATATAATCCTCGCTTAGCGACTCCGGTTATAAAACGCCATATAACCTGTCCAAAAGTTTTTATTACTAATTTTATAACTAATAATATAACTAGTTAGAGTCATAAAATGCGAACATGGCCAATTCTTATAATCCTTAAATTTTCATGGTTGTGCTGAATGATATATTCACTGCATTGTTTATTTTTTTCAGTGGTTCGGCCTCATGTTGATACTCATCATATTAAACATTATCTACGTTCTAGTGAGAGGGAAAAGGATCAGGACTTTCTCGTGGACCTACGAGTCTGAATCCGAATCCGAACCGTTGGTGGTTCCGCGCAGAGGTCCAGCTTTCACGCGAGATTTTGACCATTCACATAATGTAACACGAGATCTCGATGGCTCAGTATCGGAATTGAGATTGTAAAGAAAATAGTGCCTTTCGTTATTAATTTTTTTCATGGATGTGATTTTATGGCAGTATTTTATTCTTCATATATTTATATCCGTCATTTTTCCTGGGCTGAGATTTTTTTGGTGACAATATGATGTATACGGCGTCCAGTTAGGACCACTGTTGGGGAAAAATGGACGTCTTTTTTGTAACAATATATTTAAATAAATTTGAATACTCGCGCCCTTATAGTATTTATGGAAGTTGTTTCAAGGACAAGCCTTTATTTGAAGTTACTGAAATTAATACAAAATTCTCTATCATCACTACGATTTTAAAGACCTTGTTACACAATTTTTTATTGTTTTATATCAATTATCATAAATATGATGCTCAAATTAAGATTTATCAATTTTGTAAGTTCCAAAAAGCATTATTTATAAAGATATTACCAAATTTAACATTTCATGTAAATAAAGGGAGGTAATAAAAAATTTATTTTCTATAAAGACTAAGTCAAATTTTTCAATAAGAAATGAATGCATATATTTTAATGATTACATATAATATGTACAAATATTTCCAGTACACATTTTACATATTTTACGATGTTTGAAAATTGTTTTATTAGCATAATTATATACACATAAATAATTTTACTTAAGTGTGGTATACAACCTTAATTACAACATACAAAATCTTTAAAGACGGTTTTTTAGTGCATTATTTTAGAGAGCATATCAGACACCGACATTGGTGAAAAATTGCTTTCCCTTTTTTACACATTATATTGTTATGAATAAAACTTATGAAAAAATAGCCCAGTTGTCTCGTGAAACCAGATTTACGAACATTTCACCCTAAATCTGTTTATAAATACAAGTACCAAAACTGTGGAGCTATTTCCTGAACTTTGAAACTTGACTTCCAATGTCAAGGTTATTTAGGGATTAGTAACTAGTATATTAAGAAATTTACAAACTTCTTATTATAAGTTAGTTTCTTTAATATAGAATACTAGTATGTATAAATTATATATTCAAATGTTCTTTGAAAAGAATACAAATGTAACTCCTAATTATAAGATATGATAGCCTTATTAGGACTTTGTTAATTCTAATAAGGAAAAATAAAAATCCTATTTACTTAAACCTTTAAAAGCTTAATTAGCAGAAACTTTAATTTGAACTTTGTAACTCTTAATAAGGACTAACACAACCCTTAGTTTTACAAAGTCATTATTAAGATTTTAGCTCCTAACATATTTATTCATAAAATGTAGGTCACTGTACGGCGAGCAATGAGACTCTAATGTACAGTAACCTGAGGCAATAAGAAAAGGAGGTAGCCCTGAAAAGACCGGTTATGCCAACAAAGGTCCTGCCTTTCACGCCGAAACTCACGCATCCTAGCAGACTTTTCTCATCGTACCTGCCACTCGGCTTTAGGCAGAACATCGGCAACTGGTCTCAATTTGCAGAAGGAGATGCCCCGGATTACGGGTAGTTTAGTTAAGAGTTGTCCACCCGCCAAGCTCACAATATTCTGCCGATGCTCTGTACCTTCTATGCGACGTGCACGTACCGAATGCAAGAAAGAAGATATTATGATAATTGGGCGTCAGTTTGTGAATAATATTAAAGTCAATTCACACATTACCGACTTTTAACCTAGTTTGGGGTTAAATATTTCAAACAATTTAGTAAAGTAATTGTATTTACAAATGTAAAAAAAAATCTATAAAAATAAGTAAAAAACTGTACAATAAACGATTTAAAATAATTTCTGAATTTACATGTATATTTATGTTTTACAATTTGAGTGATTCTTAAACGTTTGCTGCAGCAGACGACAAGTTCAGAGCAGACGACAGTTTTTCTTAATGTCACAAAAACGCAACAACACACTGGTGAACCTTCATCTGGCTCGGTTGCGATTGTTGTGTTATCGTCCCAGCTTTCCTGTCCCGCATGTCATCATCCGGACAAATTCTGAAATTGAGAAAACTTATAATACTAAGCAGGTCCTTAAACCTGACATAAAGCGTGTCACGTAGACTCATTTAAAAACACGTGACTGGATGAAGCTCTTGATGATAGGGAACGTGATAATGATTCAATGCATAAACTGCCAATCTCCCGTGATATGCACTATAATTATTCTTACTTTAAAGGCCCAAAATGTAACAGAAATGCTTTTATTTCAGTTCTCAAAAGATTTTTTATTATGAAAGTCACTCATCCGTCAAATGGACATCCGTTACACTTTGGCAATTAGTATAATAATAAGTGGAATTCAAAATACTACTTTGTTTACATTTTGCTACTTTTATGACAGACGATTTAATGTCCAGCGCTACTTTTTTCAGAAGAAAAAAAGGATGAAAAATTTATTCATTTCTGAGGGATTATGTGCAAATCTCAACGTCACGTGTATTAGACAATCGCTAGTGTGACCACTCCACTGCTGTCTTCAAATAAAGCTTAACTTGTTTTATCAAGAAACTACCATCATTGTTAATGGAGGTTAAAACTTTGTCCAAACCTTCATAATTGACTTGTCCATCACCGTCAACATCAGCTTCTTTTATCATCTCGTCGACCTCTTCGTCCGTCAGTTTCTCCCCTGATACAGAAATAGATAACATACAAAATGACAAAAACCGTCCGGTTAGCCCAATACATGTAGTGTGAATGAGATTGCCCGGGTCTTTTGGAGTCAAAAGAACTTTGGGGTCCAACTCCAAAATCTCAACGCACTGTGGGGGTCAAACGCACTTTGGGGTCAAAATCTAGAAATGATCCCCATTTGTTAATGTGCCATATATCAATGCACTATGGGTTCCAAAGTTCTGAACGTGTCAAAAAAAGTTCTGCTTTAGTATTGAATACTGACTTATTTTCAATGTTTAAGATGACTGTCAATACTTAGATAACAACTTAGTGTCATCCAAATTTTAATGCAGAATTAATTAAAAAAAAATGGTATTAATCATTAGATGTAAGTGATAAAGTAACCACTAATGATGGTTAATCTAAAACATTCTTAAAAAGCATCACTTCCCCAATTTGCATAAATTGACAGTAATACAAGGTGAAACTGTTGATGATTTTCTAATAAATACATAGTGTGATATAAGAATGCATCAGTAGTCGGTCACTCGCTGAAAAAATTGGTAATTACTGGTTAGTTATCTTGGAAAAGGCGGTTTGTTGGAACAGCCGCCGAGATATGTCCAGATTGTGTTGAAATGGGTGTAAAAACATATAAACAAACTTACCTAAATTTGTCATCACATGACGTAGTTCAGCTGCACTTATGAAACCGTTGCCGTCCCGATCGAACACTCGGAATGCCTCTAAAAAAGAGTTAATAAAATGTAAAATGCACAGCGCTTACCTCCCTTACATAACAATAACTTACAAACCAGAGTATACATATTTGAAGCAGGCCAATCATTAATTTGATACAGAAAATACAGTATCTAAAAGTTGTCCACAATTCTTTACATAATATTATTGTGTTCACAAATGATGAAACGAAAGTGTAGGATATGTATAGAAGATATTCAAGTTTTTTTCCCATATAAATCATTAGGGAGGTATGAAAATAAATATTTCACGAATTGTGGTAGATAATTTTCATATCACAAGATAAAAATTAATCTTATCTTTAAAAAAAACTTGAATTTTCAGTTTATTAGATCTACTTTTTCTCATTTTGGCCAATCCTTTAATTTTGTGTATTGGCTGAATAAGAAAAGAATGTAGTCCAACAAGACACCAGTGAAAATACAGAATATATGATTCAATGTAGTGACAAATAAATTTTAACAGTGAAAATATGGAACATGAAAATACGCATTAATGTTACAACTGATTATTTTACAGATGGTGATGTTACAGATGGTGATGTTACAACTGATTATTTTACAGATGGTAATGTTACAGATGGTAATGTTACAAATGATTATTTTACAGATGGTGATGTAACAGATGGTGATGTTACAACTGATTATTTTACAGATGGTAATGTTACAGGTGATTATGTTACAGATGGTAATGTTACAGATGGTGATGTTACAGATGGTGATGTTACAGATGGTAATGTTACAAATGGTGATGTTACAGATGGTAATGTTACAGATGGTGATGTTACAGATGGTGATGTTACAGGTGGTAATGTTACAGATGGTGATGTTACAGATGGTGATGTTACAGATGGTAATGTTACAGATGGTGATGTTACAGGTGGTAATGTTACAGATGGTAATGTTACAGATGGTGATGTTACAGATGGTGATGTTACAGATGGTGATGTTACAGATGGTGATGTTACAGATGGTGATGTTACAGATGGTGATGTTACAGATGGTGATGTTACAGATGGTAATGTTACAGATGGTAATGTTACAGATGGTGATGTTACAGATGGTAATGTTACAGATGGTGATGTTACAGATGGTGATGTTACAGATGGTAATGTTACAGATGGTGATGTTACAGATGGTGATGTTACAGATGGTGATGTTACAGATGGTGATGTTACAACTGATTATGTTACAGATGGTAATGTTACAGATGGTAATGTTACAGATGGTGATGTTACAGATGGTAATGTTACAGATGGTGATGTTACAGATGGTAATGTTACAGATGGTGATGTTACAGATGGTAATGTTACAGATGGTGATGTTACAGATGGTAATGTTACAGATGGTGATGTTACAGATGGTAATGTTACAGATGGTGATGTTACAGATGGTGATGTTACAGATGGTAATGTTACAGATGGTGATGTTACAGATGGTAATGTTACAGATGGTGATGTTACAGATGGTGATGTTACAGATGGTGATGTTACAGATGGTGATGTTACAGATGGTGATGTTACAAATGATTATGTTACAGGTGGTAATGTTACAGATGGTAATGTTACAGATGGTGATGTTACAGATGGTGATGTTACAGATGGTGATGTTACAGATGGTAATGTTACAGATGGTGATGTTACAGATGGTGATGTTACAGATGGTGATGTTACAGATGGTGATGTTACAGATGGTAATGTTACAGATGGTGATGTTACAGATGGTGATGTTACAGATGGTGATGTTACAGATGGTGATGTTACAGATGGTGATGTTACAGATGGTGATGTTACAGATGGTGATGTTACAGTTGGTGATGTTACAGTTGGTGATGTTACAGATGGTGATGTTACAGATGGTGATGTTACAGATGGTGATGTTACAGATGGTGATGTTACAGATGGTGATGTTACAACTGATTATGTTACAGATGGTAATGTTATAGATGGTGATGTTACAGATGGTAATGTTACAGATGGTGATGTTACAACTGATTATGTTACAGATGGTGATGTTACAGATGGTGATGTTACAGATGGTGATGTTACAGAAGATTAAGCTAGTTTAGGTTATACCTATTAATTTAAGATTGATTGTGTTGGAAGCTTTAAGCTTATTGAATTAAGTTCTATAGATGATAAGTAACAAATGGTGAAGCTACAGATGATTAAGTTACAGATGCTGATCATGCATAAAAAATAGAAAGAAAATTACAGTTTATAAGTCAAAACTGAATTAAATTATTGTTTAAACTAAGACGGGTATCAAGAAAAAGGAAAGGAACTTTATTTCTAAAGAGTTTTCATTGAAGTGTTCATATACGATAAATAGAAATTTAAGTAATACCTCTGATTTCCTCCTCGCCATCATCGTCTTTCATTTTCTTCGCCATCATCGCAAGGAACTCTGGGAAATCGATAGTACCATTTTCTGTAAGAATATTTGTTTCAGAATAAGTTCAAATATAAGCGAACAAAAGCAACAGGTATGTTCTGTTTATTCCGATATGTAAATGAGGTTTGAATTAAGCCATCAGTATCTTCATCGACGATTGTCATAGAGAAGACTTGTGGATTGAGGGAAGCAGAGACATAGAGAACATTTACATCTATGAGGGAATGTTATGGGTGCGTTTGCAATAAAATTGTGTTGATATATACTATAGCGTAAGTCCATCATTCGATGTCAAATACCATGTTGGCCGGTAGCGTCCATTTTAAAGCCGCATGAAATTTTACCGTCAGTTATAATATGTCGCGGGCAACTTTTAAATCCGCGAGATTGTTTGTCAAAATTGTATAAAATGTCGCGGCTTATAGAAACTCTCGAGTATTTTTCACACTCTGTCGTAAATACTCAATTTTTACGAAAGAAACCGCGACATTTTCTGCTTACATAGTAGACTTAACCATGCAAACATAATTATGCAGGCCTACTGATTGGTCGGGTTTTTTATCCAGAAATTTAAGGGTATATTCTTAGGGGAATAAACGACCAATGAGAAGACGGTTTTTTTATATTCGACAAGATCACGGTGTTTTTTTAGAAATATCAACAGGGAAATACTCTAAAATAATAAATACTCCATTATGTCATGTTTGCACATGGAATGAATTAATAAAATGTTTTTTGACTTGAAAAAAAATGTTGTTTTTTTTTTTTGTTTTGTTTTGTTTTTTTGACTTTGACTTTGACTTTTTTTACTCTAAAGCCGCAGGTGACTTTATATCACATTACAATTATAGGTTATTGGTGTTCTTTATTACTATTATGTAAACATGACCAAAGCTTATAAAGATTGCATCAGTAGTGGAACTTTGTGTTCGATGTCGACCTCGCGTAAATGAATAGGTTTTTGTTACTTCGGCGGCCAGTACTCGTAAAGTTTAAGAGAGATGAGAAAAGTTTTACTAAATTATTAGACTACATTTAGCATATTTCCTTTTTTATTTATCCTGTATCGTTTAAAAAACTGCGAGGCGAAAACTCAGATTTGGCATAGATACCTTCTTATGGGAGTTGTTACTCTTGTCTAAATGTGAGTATATTGTGTAATGGGATCTGGTCTCACTTCCCTTCGGAGAGTGCTCGTCACTGAGAAGGTAGAAGATTTGAAGTTTTGGGATGGCGACTAAAAGATCAGAACTTGTACTGTGGCCAGCTGCCGGAGTCCTGACTTATACCGAGGGGAGTGTCTCTTCAAAGTAGGCAGAGACGACGAGTATGGTGTGCTAGTGTGCGTGAGCTCCGAGCACAGATTGAACGGCAGGCCGTTAGCCCTTCTAAATGTTACCCTTTCATTATTGTCTCAGGTTACTATACATTTAGGCTCTAATTGACCGCCGAGTCCTACTTTGGCTCAAAGGTTTTGGCTAATACTCCGTGGAAATTGCATGGAGGTAAATTCTTCAAAATTAAACTCATTAAGGGCATGACTGGTGACATGCCCGGGGTGGGTACTTGATAGCGAAAGCTGCATTTTGTATCTTACCGTCAAGCAAAGAGTACATAAATGCATACTAAATTAAATACTCATTTCTAAATTAGGATAAATGTTCTGTGCTATCAAACACATATTTTGTGAACATTCAATGAGCTGTACCCCAGTGCTGCCGGCCGCTGCATGGAATCAAAATGTTCCTTGCTGTTTTTAAATATCCAGGTTTATACGTTACCCACCTCTCACGGGTTTGTAAGTTGCCCGCGACATTTTATGATAAAACGATAAAATTTCTCGCAAGGTAAAAGTCCCATTACACGGGACCTCTGTTTTTAATGCTCCGCACAAAGTTCACGCGATGATGCGCAAGGTATTATAAACGGTACGATATGCGAGTTATGTCCTCTAATGAAAACTCGAAAAATCTGAATATATGTAGGTCAGGGTACTTTGTAACAATATTGCTTGGTCTATCAATGATCCATCATCAAATGAGTCAAATTGCGGACAAAGATCATCGAAATTACGAGTCAATGAGTCTTGACAGACGAACTATATCTGAAAATATTGAGTGATAGATAAACGGTCATAGCCCGTATACTTGGTAGAATATTATTTTTTTTATGATATTATCAATAACTGTATCCGGAAATTTGTATATTAACTCAATTTGTTTTCCCTAATCTAATTATTATCTACAAATGTAAACAAAACAACAGGAAAAGCTATTGTACTATTATCTCTAATCGATCTGTTACCAGTGACCCTGTTACCATGCAGAGACCTTGTTACCCACTTCTCGTACTTGTGTACTCACCATGGCAGTTATAATTTGATGGGGGATAATGTCATTTTAAAAATTGAAATCTTGCCGTGTAGACAAAAAGATATAATTAATCTTAAATTAACCTGCTAAACGTTTTAAATGGTTTTGTACAAGTTCCATTTTTGAAGCTCACGAGTAAGGAATAGGATGGCCCTCAAGGTCAGTATAAAACACCGGCTATAGTGATCACGGTGAAGAAGCCCCAGAGCAGAGCTTAGTGGTAAGGGCATTCATGTACATGTATATTTAAACGAATTTAGTAAGTTTGTGGATGTCAAAATGAAAGTTAAAGCTGGCCAGCCATAACAATATAGAACCTGGTCAGACATCATTTTCGACTTTTCGTCATTAATGAATATAACGAACAGAATGTATGCTTTAGAACCGACTTACGTCATTAAACACGAGGAGCTGACTAAATTTCCTTACCGTCTGCATCAACTTCGTTGATCATGTCCTCAAGTTCCGCCTCTGTCGGGTTCTGACCTAGTGACCTCATTACCGTCCCCAGCTCTTTCGTGGTTATAGTCCCATCTCCGTCTTTGTCGAACAGGCCAAAGGCCTCCTTAAATTCTAGCAAAACATTCGCTATCACTGAAAATTGGTTTGATATCTCGACAACAACACTATATTATAAACCGTAAGAAAATAATACTATTTAGTCATATTCAGCAGTTCGGAACACTTCGCCTTATCCGAAATCAATCCGAATACCTGTGACGGAAAAGGTCGGAAGGTTGCAGATGATCCGAAATTTGAAGGAAACGGCGTGACAAAGATTCGATTGCTGTACCTATACGTATTTCTAAAATTGATAATTATCTAACAAAAGGTAAATTGCAAATATCTAGAGATACTCTTCATTATTATGAATTAAATTCAAAGAAATGCCTTAATTTTGACTGAACATGCAATTTACTAGAAAATTAAAAAATTGTCTTACTTTTACTCTCAGTGATAATTATAGTCCAACATTGTTCTAGTTACTAAACTACAATTATTTACATTTATATTGTAACTGTAATTAAATAAAACGTTTAAAAATTAACAAAAAAATGATGGTAGTTTTAATTTTATTGGTGAAATTTAAAAGTGATTTTTATTTAATTAATACTTTTAAAAATGAAATGACCATATGTCTGCCCCTTAGTGTACTAAAGCTATATTGTATATATCCCCTGTTATATCTAAAGCAGTTCGCCTCCAGATTGATGCTTATTTTCATGAAAATTTTGAAAATGAAATTAAATGTATAATATTGTATAGTAACCAAAAGGAAGCAATTTACACATTATAAGTGGCACTTACAACCCATGTTAATTACAAAAAGAGGTCAAGGTATGCAAAAATGCCCTTATTGCGTTACTAACGCAGTAGAAATATAGTTACACATAATGAAAAAAATCACCATTAATCGCTCATTACAGTCATGTAAATTATTACTTGAATATTGAATCTTTCAACTTTTCTTAAAATCTTAGTAAATTTAATTGTTTACAAGTTTGACGTATTGAAATATTTTCGCTCATCTGGAGGCATCCTGCTTTAAGTGTCGACTGCCTTAAATTGCTTATTTGAGAGCGGTAAATTTTGCGTTTTATTTCCCACAGTATCTTATCTAAAAATGACTTTTCTATTCGAAATTGAATTTTTATGCCAATCAGTCTACCAAACTTGTTTTTTGATTTTATAGTGATTTTCATAGGTCCATTTTTTCTATTTATTTCCTTTCTTTACCATTTTTTTCTTTCTTCTTTTTCATTCTTTTTTATTCTTTTTTTATTTTATCTTGGAAAGAAAATTCAAACTCATTCTATAATCCTTAACCTGTTTGAAGCAAAGATAATAAGCCTTTTATATGATGTCCTGTACAGTAGTACCTCATCAGCCAAATAGCGGGGTCATCATTTGCCTACTTTGCATTTTAAATTGATTTATTTTTTTTTCTATGAAAGTGAAAATACAATTTTGTTTATATTTATTACCTTTATCACATATTATTTGATACATTGAATTCAGCACCATTTTCATCACCAACCAGTATTACAAGTTTGTTTACGCACATGCTAAAGAAAAATAATGATTTTTTATGTATATTTAAATAAGTTTAACTTACCGAATACTTGGTCTTCGGTCAGGCTCTCTGCCTAAAATCATAAAAAAGAAAGCTTAAAATACAAGAAAACAAACTGAAGAGGAAAAGAGAAACCTCCCCGACGGGGAATTGAACCCCGGTCTCCCGCGTGACAGGCGGGGATACTCACCACTATACTATCGAGGAGTACGTGCTTT